GAGAGGCCAACTCCTCCCAGGCCAAAGACGGCGCAGGTGGAGCCTGGTTTTACCTGCACAACATGGGTCCCTGTGAGTGTCCAGCGTGAAGAGGAGGTTTCTGTTGCACAGGGTTGGTGTGGGGGTGGCCATGGGGTGCTTGTGCTGGCCATGCCCAAATACCAACCTTGGCGGTGTTGATGGCAGCGCCGTAGCCTGTGGAAAACCCACAGCCCAGCATGCAGACTTTCTCCAGCGGTGCAGCAGCGTCTATCTTGGCCACGGCGTACTCCGGGACCACGGTGTATTCTGCAAAGGTGCTGACCCACAGGAAGTGGTGGATCTGCTTCCCTTTGCACGTGAACCGGCTGGTCTTGTCAGGCAGCAGGTTTTGTGGTTCGGAGAGGCTGTTGGGTGGTGCATGCATTTGTTGTTCATCAAGAGAAAAGTAAAGAACCCGTGGGGTTGTCAGGGTTGTTGAGAGGGAGCCGACCCCATCTCAGCATAGGGGAAGGAGAAGCAAACTCACTGGGACTTCTGGCAGTAGTTGGATTCGGGATTCAGGCAGAAGGCACATTCCCCGCACTGTGGGAGGCAAAGGGGGATGACTTTGTCACCTGGAAGAATGCAATTCCATGTTAGGTGATTCTCTCTGGGCAGGCCCTGAAGAGCTGAGTCCTGGGTGTGTTTATTTGTGTGTGTGTGTCTGTTACCTGGTTTCACCGAGGTCACTCCTTCTCCTATGCTTTCCACAATCCCAGCTCCTTCGTGGCCTGGGATAACTGGGAAATCCACATCAGGAAAGGTGCCTTCCAGAATGTGTTCATCTGTATGACAGATGCCCGTAGCCACAATCTGTTTGGAAAGGAAAGAGCAAGTGAGCTTTAGGAAAGGCCATTTTTATTTTGCTGTAATTAGCACCGTGGGGGGGTGGGCGGAATTGGACAACCTTGCCCATCGTAGCACCATTATGAGTTCTTTCCAGCTCCTCCAGAACCCTTTGGTATTTCAGTATTGATTTCTGTAGTGTGTTTGCTATGTGAATGAGCGTCTCCAAAACTAACAAAAGAGGGGTCAGGGCAGAAAAGTGGAGGAAGAAAAGACAAGCAGGAGAACCAGCTGAACATTCCTGCCAAGTTTTGCTGAAGCTATGTGGCTGGCTCTGTTATTCAGGTCCCATGCCATTTGCTGGTAGGCTGTAATAGACTACAGGGATTTGTACAGGGCTTTAATGGACTACAAGATTCTGGCCTTGCTTTGATTTAGTTTGTGGAAGGATTTTTCACAGGGCTCCTCTAAGCAATTAAGGCCTTTTAGAGGACATAGGTCCCTGGCAGCTATGTTCAAGGTGTAGCCACAAGAAGAGTAATTCATAGAAGGGGAAAAAAACCTCTGGAAATCTGTGTTTACCTTGATGCGGACTTCACCTGCTTTTGGAGGTGCAACCTCCACCTCCTCAACAGAGAGTGGCTTGCCCACGGCCCAGGCAACAGCAGCTCTGCATCTGATAACCTGGAAGGAACAGATAAGGGTGCATGGGAATGTTTGTCTTTGGCACAGGGCTGGGGAAGGTCCTCTTCCAGTCACCTGGGAGAGAGAACCTCGGTGGTGCTGAGCTGCAGATGGAGCCCAGTGATGTTCACTAAACACTGTCCCAGTTTAAGGTCTGAGGAAACAGCACTTAGGCTTTGTCACACACAGAGTATGTGGTCTACCCTTAGGAAATTATTGGGTTTTTAATGGCTTTTGTGGATTTTTCCTATTGCTGTCATAGGTTAATGGACAGACACTGCTCCGATGGGGAGTGTGGACCCTACCTATTGGAAATGCCTGCTCAGGACTTTGCTGATGGTCGTGTGAGATAGTGGGCTCAAAGTTCCTAAGAGGAGATAAGGAACAGTCCCCATCTGGCTGGCAAGTGGAAAATGTTTTCCCATGCCAAAAGGATGGTTTATGTGTGGCATCTCCCAAACCCCAAGCCCATCGCCCCAGAGCTGGTCTGACATCTGCAAAATTCAGTTTGGAGCTTGAGAGGGGTTTTGCCAGGGACAAGGTGGAATGCAGGAGATGAGTGGCTGCAAGTCTGCACCTCTCAAGAGCTGTTTCCCTCCCAAAGCAGGAGCTCCGAGCGGGGCTGAGCAGGAGGGTGTTTTACAGAGCAATAGGATTCAGTGGTTTTGTTCCTGAGCTGCTGGGCAGAAGAGGAGAGAAACGCACTGCCTGATGCAGGGACCGACACGTGCAGTTGTCTGAAAGCAGAAGCCCATGTATTTCCAAGGGGTTTGGATGGGTTGGGGGAGTAAGGTCAGAGGGAAGAGGGTGCGCAGTGGAGGTGCACAGGCTGAGCCATTTACAGACTATTTCCCCAGGAGCTGAGCCCCTCAGAAAGGAAGATGGGAACTGAGTTGTTCTTACCTTTCCAGCAGTGGCCATGTGGCCCCTCTGACCGAAGCCCCGAGCTGTGAAATGGCCCAGCCGTGGCGATGGAGCTCCTGGTCACCTGCTGGCCACAGCAGAAGGGAGGGAGTCGTGGTGTGGGAGCGTCAGTGGAGAGTGTGGAGCGGTGGTTAATCCGTGTGCGATGCTGGATGCTGAGGAGCACAGTGAGTGTTGATCAGAGGAGCTGGATGGTGGCAGTCACGGTCGACAGGGAGTGGGTACAAGTCCTGTGGGGAGGCTTTTATTGGTGGCGCTGCCTTCAGTCCATGTCCTGCCCTCCCTGCCTGGAAGGCACAGAGAGCTCAGTGGGATCTTTCTCCTCCTCCTCCGGTTGGTTCTGGCAGGTGTGGAGGGAGGAGATTTGCAGCAGCGTTCGGGATTCCTCAGGGTCCCTTGTTGCCAAGGCGTAGCATTTGACCTGGCCGAGGTTCACACCAAGGCAGTTGCCAAAGGATTAAAGATTAAAAGAAAAAAGAAAAAAAAAAAGGTTGGGAAAACACAGTGTGGTGGACAAACAGACATATCTTTTCAGAGTGAAGCTTCCCTGTCTGTGGTGTTGCAGCTCTTTTCTCCTGGGTAGTAAGGGCAGAATGTGTTGGGAAGGGGGGCTTTTGCAAGGACACATTTGTTCCAATTGTGTGTAACCCGTTTTGTGAGGGGTTTGCTGCCCCGGGCTCTCCTGGTTCCCACCAAGCTGTTTTCTGCTGAGGCATTGGGCAAGGTGAGCAGGACCTTGTTGGAGGACCAGGCTAAGATGAGCACCCCGTGTGTGACCCTCTGGTTTGGGAACTGTCTCTGTGCTTGGGAAGACGTCAGCCCCAGGTTTATGTGTTCAGGGGACTTGCCAGGAGTGGTTTGTGTTAGAACTTGCTACCGCGTGTCCCAGCCCTGTTTCATGGGGTGAAGGGGAAGGTCAGCAGCACTTGATGTTGGCAGCCGTACCCCCAGCTCCCCAGTCCTGTGGGTCCATCTCTGCTTCCATTGATGCCAAGCGGCAGCGCTGCCCGTGTCCCAGCATCTGACTGAGCTCTTACCCTGCTCATCAAACTCAACCTCTAGGTGATGGTGGCCAGGTGCTGCTGTGCTCCTGTCATGGAGCTGAGCAGCTGGCACTAGAGTGGCCGTGCACTTGCAGATCATTTTGTCCTGTAATTCCAGTGCACAGGGATAGTTATCAGTTTTTAACAGGAAACTTTTGGTATTATTTGGTATTATATTGGTATCTGAAAAGTGAAAAATTGGTTTCACTTGTCCTGAGCAGCCAAAGATGTGACAGCCCGTGAGGATGACATTGGCCTGTCATCTCCCGGTTATCTCTGCAGCACTGTGGTTACTGGGATCCATACTCCCCATCTCATAACCTGGAAGCAATAGAGGAGATTTTGCTGTATGGATGTGACCATTTCCCTGTGATGCACGGTCAGGGAGGCTGAACTTACAAGGGTGTAAAAAATGGAGCTGCACAGTGAGTGTCTCCACACAGCGGAACACTTGCTGCTGGGGCTACACAACTGTCTTGTGTTGTTTCCTGGGGGGCTTGCTGGGTGGGTGGGATGTGATAGGAGATCAGCACACAGTAGTTCTGAGCTGCACAGAAGGGCACGTGGTGTTCAGTAATCACTGGCATAGTTTAAGGTCTGAGGAAACACCATTTGTGCTTTGTCAAAGTGTTTGTCTTTTGGGCAGTTGCTGGCTTTTTCATGGCTTTTGTGGATTTTTCATAGTTGTCGTCATGTGCTCTGATGGGGAGAGTGGATCCTGCTTATTCACAGGAAACCTCCTAAATGGAGGCTCAGACCTGGCCTCTACATGTAGACCTGAGCCCACTCACCCTGGAGTACCTCAGAGTCAGAGAGCCATTGGGAAGGTCTGTCAGAAGCGTGCTGTCCAGAACTGCACAATGACACAAAGAAATTAATCTTGAGTTGGGTGTGGATGGGGTCCTGCATGGAGAAATACTATAGGACAGCATGAACTATTTGTCATTCCCCTGTCAAAAGTCACTTCCTTCCTCCATGTGAAGACTTAACTAGATTGCTGCCTTCTAAAATGTCACTAAGAAAATTATTTCATGGGCTTATTGGTTTGGATGCCAGCAACTAACCTAAAACGATAGTAGCAGCAGGTGTTTACGGTGCTTGGCAGATTACAACAGGAACAGCCTTTGCATGGGCCTGAAGAGGACAGAAACAAGGAGGTTTGTTGTAGTTTATATACTTTATAACCTAGCTCTATTTTATTTTTCTTCTGCTTTGAAGGACTGCTGCTATATTCTCTGCCCTTCATGCAATGGGGAGTGCTTTGGAAAAAAACATGTATTTGGCATATGGAAGATACTTTACTTCTGTATTCCTTCTTTCTGTCCCTACAGCTAGGTTTAGACAGACCGCCTTTGGCTTCTGTTTAAGTCATGAGTTAAATGTACTTTAGCTGGTACAATAAGCTAGCTTGGCCTCCACAGAAAACATTTTGTTTGAATACTCTGAGAATTGAGTATTATTATGCACTTGTTTCTGCTTAATCTATGTTATTACTTATTAATTAAGTAGAATTAAAGCCCCTCTTTTTTTTGTTTTGACTAGTGATCCAGTTCACACTGTTGGTTCACGCACAACCTGGCTTGAAAGAGATGAGAACTCTTCAACTGAACAGCACCTGAAAAGAATTATTTTATGGTCCAGAAAAAAAATCTTCAGCGCTGACTGCACAGGTAATCCCACAAGTGTCTGAAGTTTGAGTCTTAATTGCTGTGTAAACTGAGTTTATTATAAATGCATGTGTTTAAGGATCATCTTGTGTTAAAGTATAATCTCTTGGTAAACTTATTCTCAAATCATTAACCTAGCTGGGCCACTCAAGGACTCTTTCTGCTGGCACAAACAAGTCAGTCATCATTAGCCCACAGTCCCCTTAACTTCACTGGCTCTTTTACCCAGCTGCCATGCACGCGAGTGCCTGCAAAGCCTGATGAGTACTCTCAAAAGTTAAGTCAACATTGACCATATTTGCTAAGATGGAAACGGCCTCTGTTCCTGTTTCCATGTTACAAATGCAGAAAGCAGGAAGATACTTTATGTTTGATTTCCTGCAAACTGTTACCAGTCACCTGTTTGTTCCTATTTACTCTGTATTCACACTTAAAGGTTAGGAAACCTCCCCTTTATTTAATAGAAACAAGTAGCAATACTTGATGCACCATCATATTTCTTCACGTTGTTTCCCAGGCATCAGATGCGCTTGTAGAAATTGACCAAAGATCTAAAACCATAATGATAAAACAACTAAAACATCCCCAAGAAAGAGGTTCAAAGTTGAAAAAAAACAACCAACCAAACTGCAACACAGAACACTACCACAGCAGTTTATTATATAAAGTGCTTGAAGTGTTGATTTGGTAAAATATCCAGTGGTGAGACATTCTGTAGTACCTAAGTCTATGATTTACTTAAATATCATCTACTGAAATTATTAATACAAACACATAGTCACTATATAAATTTTAATGTCTGCAGTAATTTCTTTGCACATCAGGTAATGGAATAAGGAGTAATTTTGCTGCCTCTCAGGTAATGGAATGCTAAAATCGTTCAGGATGGATACATAGTTCTGACCTAGAGTTTTACTGTGCTGAGCTGCGTGCACAAATCTATTAAGCTTGCAGTATTATGAAAGCCCAAAGAAACCATTTCCTTCATTTTTCTTTCATTAAAGGATTGCATATTAAAAGCCATTTTAAAAAATTCCAAGCCTTTCATAACAGCTGTGATAGCAGCAAGTCCCTTAATTCATAACTGGCTATTAAAATAAAATTGCAGCACAATACAGAGGATTTAAAGCAAGAATTAGGTGGAGAAAGAGGTAGGAGGAAAAAGATTATTTCATTTATAGATGCTGTGCTTGAAGTCTGGGGTTTGAGCTTGATCCTTTTATTCACGGGCGGTGGTGGCAGACCTTTCAGAAAAGTCTTGGGTTTTATTTCATATCAGTTGTGTTGGAGGATACTGTAATTTGTACAGGTGCTGACCCATCTGCTGCTTAACGACTGGGAATCCTAAAACACCAGGACACTGCGAATGCTGCAATATAAAATAGTAAGTGAGTGACTGTAGAACAGCCCCTGGGCTAACATTAGCAAAACACTGCTGTTTTCTCTGAAAATCTAGGCTACTGCTCTCAAGTGGGGCACTCCCTTCCCCCCTGCCCTGTCCCAGCTCACAGCAAAATGGCAGAGCAGATGTGCCAACCCTGCTGCAGATGCAGAGAACAAAATTCATGCAAGACTGCAAAGCCTTCACTCACGAAGCCCAGGGCTCCTGGCAATTAATCACTAAATACAGCCTGGGAAGTGCTTGGAGGGGAGAGGAGCTTAAATACACCTTTCCAGTTACAAATGGCTCTAAGGGTAACCTCTGAGTGGTACAGCGTATTCTGGGCTGAAACACTGAAATAATTTTAGTAGTTTTGCACTTAGTAACAATAATAATTTTACACTTAGTAAAAATGGTCAGCTGCAACATGCCTCTGTTTTCAGGTTGACCATCAGTATCTTAGCAAAGCTGATGTCGTCTCTGCCCTCACCACTTTCCCCTGTTTGTTACACTAAAATCTAAAAATAACATTTAAATCTCAAATAAGGACAGTCAAAAAATAAATTATGTGCTGCATAATTAAAACAAACCTCAGGGGCTAAAGTCTTCTTTTACATGCTTTTTATATTTAGAGCAAGCAACACCTAAAATAACTGCTAGGAAGTGGCAATGAAAAGAAAACACGAATGTAATTCTCCAGACTGTGTAAGTTATAAACAGCTAGAACTTTCAAAAAGGGTAGTCCCCACACATACTAAGATAAACAAATATATTTCCCACTTCTGCCAAGGAGAATTTTCAATTATTCCCATGGTGATTCTTGTCAAATGTCTCTAGCAAATAATTTCTGATTTCAGCATCCTATGAAAACAGAGCCTGAGCGGAACACGCTGGATATTTGAGGAATGAGAAGCACTAAATTCAGAGTTTGCGGTGTATATATGCACAAAGTACTCTCCTTTTCGAAAAGCTCCGAAGTTCAAGGTAAACTACCCCGTGACCTTAGGACTAACTGCACCGGGACTCTGTTCCCTAACTCCTAAGAGGAACGGTGAGTTGCTCTTCTACAAAATATAAGCTATTTCTGTGTTCCTGCTCCTCATCCTAAAAGCTGTCTTGGAATGCGATGTAGCTAACCCCTGGAGCTGTACAGCTTGGCATTACAAGGCTCCCTTGGGTGCGTGCTCTTTTCCAATGAGTGGTGGGCAGGGACTTACTCATTTGTATGGTCTTTTCTCCCTCTGCCACCCAGAGCCTCTGCTCAAACTAGAATCCCAGAGTTCCTCTGAAAGGAAAGACAGGGCCCACTGCATTTCAAAAGCTAAAGCTTTGTTGGCTTTATTGCTCCAGCTGCAACCCATGGACACCCATTGGGTGAGATTACAAGGCATAGTAGGTTGCCTTCCCTATTTTCTGCTGTGAAGTCACATTCTGTGTTACTGTACAGCTCCTTTAGGTTATTTATATAGAACCTTTACAATTAAACAATGTTTACCTCTTCCCTGTCCTTAGCAGATCAAATCCTTCATTGATTTTAGTGAAAGGAAGTGTGTGGGTTATTAATGGATCCAGTACAAATTTCTTCTTCATGTAGTCAGAAACCAGTTTAGGGACTGAATCTTTACTCTTCCAGCCTGAAAAAACACACAGAGAGTGGAGAATGAAACATTAAATGCTTGTGAAAATAGATAAAACTCATGGCAGTGTAATTTTTTAGATAAATTTTCTGTAGCATGATGAAATGTGGCAGGATGTCTTTACCTTTCTAGCACAGAGTGCCAGCAGGAACCATGGGGATAGCAGAATAGCATGATGAAATGTGGCAGCATGTCTTTACCTTCCTAGCACAGAGTGCCAGCAGGAACCATGGGGTGAAGTGTAGCTATTCTACGCATGACAAACCCAGTAAGTGCTTTACTGGTAGACCAGTAAAAATTTGAATCTTTACAGAATCCAAACTTTACCCCACGTTAACTATTGTTTAAACTTTTCTGTTGATATACTGTCCACTAAATCACACACCATACAAAAGCAAGAGTGCTGACATCTGTGTTGGCAACTGGCAACTTGATTGCCTGGTCTAAACTGGGGGGTTAGAGGATGGATGTTAGACCAGTAAAAATTTGAATCTTTACAGAATCCAAGCTTTACCCCACATTAACTATTGTTTAAACTATTCTGTTGGTATACTGTCCACTAAATCACACACCATACAAAAGCAAGAGTGCTGACATCTGTGTTGGCAACTGGCAACTTGATTGCCTGGTCTAAACTGGGGGGTTAGAGGATGGATGTATCTCTTTTTTCTTACAAACAGTACTAGATAAAGCTGTCTCAAATAGCAGGATGCTCTTCCAGAGGAACCTAATTTTTCTCTGCTATTCTATTCAGGTGTCTATTGAATACATCAGAGGAACTAGTTGTGAGTGAGAAAGCCTGCGTTGGAAACAAGTTTTCTGTGGCCTTCAGCTTTGTGTTGAGTCAGCTGGGGGCTTGCTGAGTGTGGGACTCTGCTGGGAGAGCTGGAAGAAAAAGAACTGGAAGTGACTGACAGCAGCTGGCAAAGGGCTCAGCCGGGATCCGACCTGTGTTGAAACCAGGTGGGTCTGACTCTAATGTCCTTTAGGGTGCTAAGTCTTCATCTCTCCCTCTCTCTTTTTCTTTCCGTCTCTTTCTGTCTTTCTATCCCTCTCATTCTTCTTTTTGCTCTTGCTCTTTTTCTCCCCCTCCCTTTCTTCTCCCTCCCTTTTTCCTAATTTTCTCTTTTTCTCTCTTTGTCCTTTTCTATTATCTTTCTCCTTTTTTTTCTCCTTATCTATTTTCTCTTCTCTATTTTTACCTCTTCTCCTCCTTCCCCTCCTGCTCCTTTTCTTTCTCTTCTACCTCTTTCTCTTTCCCTTTCTTTTTTCTCATTTTTTCTTTTTATTTTCTATTTTCTTTCTCTTTTTCCCCATTTTTTTGTCTTTTTATCTCTTTCTCTGCCTCTTCTTCTCTTCCCAACCTTCCTCCATTTTTCTCTCTCCTCCTCTCACAATTAACTAACAGTTCCTGTAATTAATTCTCTTTGTGCTGCTTTGTCAGCAAAACAGCTATCAGTATTATTTCCCACAGGACAGCCTAAGCAATGAATTTAGGTATATCCCATTTCATTCTAGTTGATTTACAATTTTCCCCAAGCCGGTTAAATCCCCTCTTTCCAAGCCCTTACCTCCAAAGACGGACCCTTTCCAGCTGCGACCAGTGAAGAGGAGCATGGGGTCGAAAGTGATCTTTTGTGCTGCTGGGGGCACTCCCACTATCACGCTGACGCCGTAGTTGTATTGGCAACAGGCCAAGGCTGCAATCTGCGTTTGGAACAGAGAGACACCCCCGAGTCACCCAAGATTTGCCACTGGGGCATAAAAGTTTGAATTCTTGCTCCTCCTCTCAGACCTCAGCTCGCAATTCATTTTTTTTGTAACTGAAACCACATCAAACAAGGTCTATGGTATCTGCTCACACCACTGTATCTGCTGTCATGGGTTAGCTGTGTCCTCGCTTTGTTCTGCTTCCCCATTTTGTCTTGGTCACTAGCCTGCTATTTGCTTTCCAGCGCTATGTGAGATTTAGCAACCCTGGTTGGGTCAGGGGAATACACTGAAGTTCCCTTTCCTAATTTTTTGAGCATGCTTCTGTCCCTGCATCTCAGTGGCAGACAGCTGGACTCAACAGGTTTGAAGTCAGCTGGACACTTTGCCAGTGGCTGTCAGCTCCTCTCCCTTGGTGCTTAGTGTGTTAGTGAAGAGAGGGCTAACAAGCAGCTAATGCCTCGTTTCACCACACCTTTGGTCACATACCATAGTTTCGGTGCGGCCGATGACCTCAAAGGAGTAGTCCACGCCATGGCCGGTCATTCCGATCAACACCTCGTGAATGGGCTTCTGGAAGTCTTTGGGGTTGACGCAGTCTGTGGCTCCCAGCTCCTTGGCCTTGGCAAACTTGTCGCTGTTGATATCGACGGCGATGATGCGGGAAGCTCCAGCTGCCTTGCAGCCCATGACAACGGAGAGGCCAACTCCTCCCAGGCCAAAGATGGCACAGGTGGAGCCTGGTTCCACCTATAATAACCATATAAACATGGCCTACTGTTACACTCTGGGTAAAGTACAGTGCATTTTCTTACTACCGCTATGTTTTCACTTAAACCACTTCTTGTAATTTAGAGATTAATTGCTGAGAAGGAATTTGCACTTGCATACTTACTAGTGCAGCAGCCAGCTATACTGTTACAATACTACATGTAACTAAGGTAAATTGTCCCTAAGATACATTTCTGAGACCAGGTTTTCATTACACCTGGTCTTGGCTTCAGGTTTAAACACAATTTTTTAATGATGCTTTATATTCCAGTGGCGTTAAGATCTGCAGTGTCACCCCACCAAAGACAGCACCAGCTGTAAAAGTCACATTCACATATTGCTACAAATTATGAGTGTTCCATTTATAGGCTTCTATGTATTCCAAGATTTACGATACAATAGAACCAACCAGCTCTGTTGTAACATTTTTCTAGAGGCGATAAAGGTATAAGAGAAAACTTAATAGATGGTAATAAGTATTTTTACTGGATTTTGAATTGAAAACTTCCAAGTGCTTTGGAGGCAGAGAAATTGAAGCAGGCAAAGTACTAGTATATTCTTTCCACCCTGTAGTCAACAGTCTATACCTCCTGGCTGCCATGCTGACGACCCTCTCGCAAGCCACACAATCCTCAACAGACCCCTTGAGATATCAGAAAGACCCACCATGATGCTTACCTTGGCAGTCTGCACAGCAGCCCCATAACCAGTTGAAAATCCACAGCCAATTAGACAAACTTTTTCCAGAGGAGCAGCAGAATCAATTTTGGCTACAGAGGATTCATGCACTACTGTGTATTCAGTGAAGGTACTTGTACCAATAAAATGGTGAATTGCTTTTCCCTTACAGGTGAATCTGGTGGTGCCATCAGGCATTAATCCAGCAGCTGAACCAATGCTGTTTGAAAGACAACCAGAAACAATGGCAAGTGAAATCTCGTGAATGTGATCAGGTTTGTATACATAAAAATCAAATAAGGGTTGTAGGTAACCCAGGAGAACTCACTCATTTTTACTGCACAGGTTACCCTTGGTGCTTAAGCAACTGCTGCACTCCCCACACTGTGGAACAAAGAGTGGAATAACCTTGTCTCCTAGAAATAAAACAGTAATGACAGAGGATTAAAAAAGGCAAACAAGAAGTATGCTGGTAAAAACATGAAGCGGTTGTATTTAATCTCTACACAAATATGCACTAGGAGTGCAGTGCTGGGTTTATTTCCTTCTGCTGCTCCTGGAAGATAAATCACCTCTCTCACATAATTAGTGCAAAATTATTACAACTAATTTCAATATGCAAAATTCCTGGTGTCTTTCATAGAACTGAGTCTGAGCTATGTCATAGCACTGTGTTAGCTGCTGACGTTCCTGAAGTACTCCTTCTGCAGTTCACTGCATCTTCTACTTAAAAGGAAAATAGTAATACACAGGAAAAGAAACCGAGATAAAAATTGACATCCACTATGACAATAGATTGGAGTGCCAAGATAACAGGGCTGTAAATTGTGCATACAAAGAATGGGAAATTAAGCATTAATTTGCCAGCCCTCTTGAGTCTCTTTCCTGTTTGCATTCCTATGTTTGCATTCCTGCAGTAAAAGTAAAATACTTGTCAGAGAAGCAGTGACACACACAAGCTAAGACAACATCTGTAATTCTACATGAAGTAATCTCTCTATATGATCAACAAAAGTACCACATAGCTTCCCTGTGCCACCCATTTTCCACAGCAATGATGTACGATAAATCCCTAATAATCTCTAAAGAGGTAATCCCTAATACAGATCAGTGAGTGATCTGGCAATTGTAAAATGTGGCTAATACTTGAACACATTGACAGTCAAGGGAAATCTTTGATTTCCTCTAAAAAATGGAAAATGCCTACAGAACGAGATGCCCCCATCATCTCAACCCTCAATTAATTTAGAACTGTGAAATAGGGTTAGTAATCATTCTGCTAAAGAAACCTTGCATGTCTTGGAGCCTTTTTTACAACTTGAAGGTGTGATTTAAGCAACATCTAAGAAATGTGATTTTGCCCATGTGTGGTATTCAGGCCTGCTGTTTCAGCTCACCTGGAAACACGTGGCAGCTAGAATTAGACAACAGTGATTTATGAACACAGACCTAAGAGAAAAAGTGGTTATAGTTATCACTGACATTCACAATATACATATTTGTTTGGAGTTAAAAGCAGAAATCTCTAATAAAACTTTTCCTTATCATACATACCACCCTGCTTTGGATAGACTTCATACTTGCTGCTACTACAAAGACACTGGAAGTACGGAGGTGGTAGAAGTTAACTACTTAGGTATTGTAACAAACTTCCTGGATAAAATCAACCACTTCTATGCAGATTTTGTGAACAGCACATCCCTTAAGGTATGCTTGAAAAAACTCAAAAGTTGGAACATTTTTCCTCTGCAATACAAGTGCTCACACACGTAATCATCTTTGACTTAAACAGGACTCTAGAAACTCATGATGGGATTTGTGTTCAGTGCTGTTTCGTACCTGGTTTCATTGAAGTTACTCCTTGGCCAACACTCTCCACAATACCAGCTGCTTCATGCCCAAGAATTATTGGAAAAGGCATAACCAGTGCACCAGTTATCACATGGTCATCAGAGCGACAGATCCCTGTAGCCACAATCTGATTTAGAGGAAATACAAAATTATTTCAGCATTTAACTATGCCATGTCATATACAGAAGTGAAATTATAACATATATTGGAGATATACCTTTTATCAAACTAACTCTATGGAAAAAATTTTTTACAATGAGGCTGGTGAAACACTGGCCCAGGTTGCCCAGAGAGGTGGTAGATGCACCATCACTGGGAACATTCCAGGTCAGGTTGGACGGGGCTTTGAGCAACCTGATCTAGACTGAAGATGTCCCTGCTCATTGCAGGGGGGTTGGACTAGGTGGCCTTTAAAGGTCCCTTCCAACCCAAACCATTCTATGATTCTGAGTCACTTGCTTCCCTCTTATATCACATATGCACACAACAAACCCTACAGGTAAAAAACCTACTTTTGGTTGTGATTCATGATTTTCATTGTTAGGCTTTAATCTACAAAAAAAAAAAGGCTCCTTTATGAATGTTTGCTGTGCACTACTGAGCTCTATGGGGATTCTCATTGATGTCTGGCAGACCATCTACCAATGGTCTACCAGATGTTCTACCAATACAATTATATATGAAGAACAGAATAAAACAAATTATTCCTAATATTAATATATAAGGACACAGCTATTAAGTTTATAATATTACAGAAATACAGGTCACTATAAAATAATCACCACATTACATTCTTTATAAAATGATAAACATTATCTATATTTTATATTGTTTATATGTGTGTATATTGCAATATATCATATAATAGGTATGTTATAAAAGATGTATTATACAACAATATAATATTATATAATTACATTCTAATTACTAGAGTATTTATACATTTTAATATATCTATATGTTATATATAGAAAAATATAGGCTACACACACATTTTACTTTTTTTCTTGCAGATATCATGGCAGTATTTCTTTTGAAACATTCAGGTATGTCTTTACATTTTTATTCTGACAAATGGAGTTGTCAACCCCATGAGGGTTCTCACTTATGTAACACTTGAAACTGCTCCAAAATGAAAACAGCTACTGAATTCCACTGAAAATTTCCCAAAATGTAACTGATACTCAATACCCAGTCAAAAAAGGAAGCTCCCAGCCCTACTGAGCTATTTCCTAGCACAGATTCCAAGTAGAAGTTCTTGCTCCATGCTATCGAAGGCTCAGATTTTTACCTTGCACTGTAATTTTTTCAACCTATTAGAAGCACAGGTGTCTTAGTAAACACAAAACCCAACCCTGAATTTTTATTTTTTTTTTCAAATAGCCTCATGATCAAATTTAGGACTTGAAGCATGTACCATAGGTGATCACTGAATGGAAGCTACTCACCCCATGAACGGTTTCTGACTGGATCCTAAAAATCTATAGAAAGTATTCTGACAAACATCAAGATCGAACATAATTCATAATTTTATTTTTAGTACCTTTATGCGAACTTCATGTGCTTTTGGTGGGGCAACTTCCACTTCCTCAATAGAAAATGGTTTATTGGCTTCCCACAATACTGCTGCTTTGCATTTGATAACCTGCAAACAGAGCAAAGAAAAAGGGAATGGCACTTGCGTTTACAAGTCACCACACAGACAGATTCTTAGATTTCTACAGGCGAAACTTCTGCTCATAGTTGGGGGAGGAGAGGGAAAACTACAGAAAAAAACCAACCAAACACAAAATGGAACAAAAAAGCCAACACCAAATCACAGTGTAAGCCCATTTTTTCCCCCCACCAAGACCATGTTAGACTTTGTTCACATTTCTGTCATACAAAGCTTTCAGCACCACATATGTATAATAGTCTCCTAGGATAACTAGATACCTTACCCATCCTCATTGCTCCTTTGTTCTTGAGTTTTCCAGTAGCAAACATTATTCAGGTACACAAGTTATTCTTTGTTTCTAACCTCCTTGGAGGATTATTTTTGCCGTGTTAGATTACTGGTGTATACACATATCTTCTTGAAGATGGCACACTAAATGATGCCATATACCAGGTTGTGATAAAGTCTGTATTGCCCAGAAATGCCTGTGTTAGGAGCTCACAGAATTGCTAAAAAGGGAATTCAGAGCCTTAATACAGGCATGTTGGATTACTGGTGTATACACGTATCTTCTTGAAGATGGCACGCTAAATGATGCCATCTACCAGGTTGTGATAAAGTCTGTATTGCCTAGAACTGCCCGTGTCAGGAGCTCACAGAATTGCTAAAAAGGGAATTCAGAGCCTTAATACAGGCTTATGAGCAATTTCTTACAGCCCAAGCTCAGCCATGAGGTGATGGCTGAGAGTCCACGATGCAAGTTTAGCACTTGCCTAAGTGTTCTGGGTGACTGGGACCCTGGCACTGGGACAGCTTAACACCAGTGTGCTGCAAAGTTCTCGGGGAGGAAAAAAAGGTAAAGCAATTTTTTAGCATCAAAACTTTTGAAGTAGACATAGAAATGATGTCTAATTGTCAACAGCAAATTGCCAACTAATAACAAAGAAAATAATTGCTAGGAAGTGCTAAACGCATGAAATAAAATAGTGCACTTTCAGCAGCCAGACCCAAAGCAGTAACGAGCACAACACTCTGAAAAAGACAGTCTAAAGAGAGGTTTGCACTGTATTTAACGTTTTGTATGTCAAATGCAAGCGTGATTAGTAAAAAATTCACAAGTGAGGCCAAAGATCACATTTTAAAGGACCACAATTTCAAGGAAACTTACTTTAAAAAAAACAGGCTTATGTATTTCTACTGTATTCCACATAGCACAATAACGATTCCACAACTTGCACGTGTAGTGTTTGTAAGAACAAAGATACCTAAGAACTGCAGACTGCGGAGAACAAATCTCTCCTGCAATTAGAGATTGCTTAACTATGTATTGCTCTGATGGTTGAGTCCCTGTGAACTTTTACCGACTCTAAGAGGATGCCACAGATGCACCAAGAGCACACTATCGCCCTTTGCATCTACTAAGGCAAGCAGTAGCTGGACTCAGAAGGGTTTTTTCTGCTCCTGTTTTCTACCTGCCTTACAAGATACTGCAGCAGGGGGAGGGTAAGCACAGAAACACACCCTTTTACAGCGCCTCAGGATTATGCCATTTTGTCACGTAAACCGCACGGTAACTCACATATTACTCCAAGATAAACACAGTGAAAACAGGGCAGTTCAGTTCTACCACAACACTTTGTTTACTGTGCTCAGTCCAAGGCGGGATGGAGGACTCAACTTGCTGAATTTACCTACAAGTGAGCTACAATTCATTTTGCACTTGCGGTATCTCAGAGTTGACGAGAGCTTTTTTTTTCCTCTTGTTTTTTTTTTTGGTTTTAGAATAGTGAAGACAGCGGGCAGTAACAGCAAATGATCCCAGTACTTTAAGGCACATTTCAGCAAGGTGCATGCCCTCAGTTCCAGTCCATCAAACTGAGTTCCTGTCCATCAAACTCCCTTGCAAGTCTCTGGGTATACGTCAGCATCTCTCAGGTAGTGCAAGAAGCAACATATACTGACTTCATTACCCTGTGTCTCTCTTGTCACTTTCAAGCAAAGATGTAAATACTCATTTCAGTCCCAGTGCAGTACTGCATGGCATGCAATACTTTTGGTCTTCATTAACTTAAGCTCCACACTTGTTAAATGCATATTCAGATTTAACGACTGTCCTAACATCATCCCAATTACACCCTGAAATGTAACACAAGAGTATGTCTTTTTTTTTTTTAATACAGATATGAATTATAAATAAGCTAAAAATAGTTTAAAACACTGTGGCATCACAGACTAGAAAGTGATAGAGCTGATAAATACATTGTTTTGAACACTTACTACATTGTATATTTTAAACTGTCCAACCAGAGATTAAAAATAGTTTGCCAACCCTGAGGGGAGGCTATTCTGCTGCTGTTACCTTGCATTGCCTCCACAATTAAACAAAATAAATTATTGCCTTGAAGAACATAACAACCCATTTCCCAGGAGAGTTCAGTGGCCTCCAAGTAAAGGCAGCTCCCCTGTACCAGCTTCCCCTAAACTCTCATCTGCCCTATACCACCAGGACTTGTGGTGCCCTGCAAATACACTGCATGTAAAAGTGCATTACTCAGCTGCAACAAAGAGACTTTTCCAATAGAAACTTTTGCTTACTTTGCCTGCTGTGCTCATGTTGACTGGTGTGTCTTGTTGCCAATCTTGCCACCGCTGATTTCTTGGGCCAAGAATTCAGTCAGCTGCAGAGCAGTCAGGTTGCTGCTACGAGTCCTGCCCAATGCGCTGGAAGCTGGTCTTATGAAGTGCTCCTGCAAGTCCACTGCTCCGACCTTTCAGCCAAGCCTCCCAGCTCAGAGTCCCACCCCTTAATCAGCCAAACTGCTAGAACAAAAATAAACAACCTATCTGAAACCTCATTCTCTAAAGCGCTGCTCTCTTCCTGATTCGTCAGGCTCTTCCCCACCCTTTTTGCATTTTTTTTATGCAACTTTTTATGGTTGCCCTCAGCATCTCAGGAAGAAAGCCCTGGCTGGAAGCTGTCCCTTCTTTCCACATCCCTGGGAGGCTCCCTCCAAACCCACTGCTCTCGGTGGCGCTTGTGGGCGCAAAGAGAAAAGTGGAGAGTGGCTCTTGAATTCGCAGCAGCAGGGACACAGGGCGAACGTGAAGGCTTTGTGGCATTACTGTGGTGATGTAAAAGCCTACCTTACATTAAAACATGCTATTGTGCGAGCTGCTTAAGAAACGTACACTGCCTGGCTGCAGCTACACCTGCTCCTGATGCCTTACTGCTACAGCCCGGCTACTCATTAATCCCTTGGAATGGCCTTCAGCGAACAGTGACCGAGGACAACATGCCAACCGTGCTGGTGGGAAAACAAAAATCAGTCACAGTCAGCAAGAAGCGCTGGGAGAAGATGCACAACACCCTGCTTGAATTACAAATGGTTGCCCGACCCTCCAGTCCCATCAGCACCAGCCACAGGCCCCATCCCTGCTCACCCACCCGTGTCCTCACCCTCTCCTGGCACAGCGTCCCACTGCCAGGCACTGGGTGGAGGTCAGCACTGCATGCCTCTCCTGCCCATTTTAAGCCCTTCAGGACTGCCTCCCAAGGGACTCTGCTAACCAGGTCAAAGTCTGCCCTCCAGAAGTCCAAGGTGGCAGGCCTGCTGACCCCCCTCCTTATTTATCCAAGAATCAAAAACTCTATAAGTTCATAATCTCTATGCCCTCCAACCATCACATCACCCAGTGTAATACAGTGTAATAACATATTTTTGCTTTATGCAGCAGTGGTGACAATTAATCTCTCTTGTTGTTTCTTGAGAGTACAGAGCTGCAGATGCCACAGAAATTTCAGCTGTTAAGGTCATCTCAAAATCCATAGATCATAGAATCATAGAATCGTTCAGGTTGGAAGAGACCCTTGGGATCATTGAGTCCAACCATCAACCCCACTCTACAAAGTTCTCCCCTACACCTGCAAGTCCCCATCAAACATAATTATCCCACCAGCAGTTTATCTCGAGCACCTCTGCTTGTGTCTAGAAGCTAAACTACTACAGTTTTCAAAGTTGTTCAAGCCATATCTTATATCTTGTCTTTTCCTTCAGGATTGACTTTTAGCCGTGCCATGGATAGACACGGTCTAACTTGATCCAAATCCTCATCACAACTTTGTATGAAGTCTAGAAACTTCTGGGTCTTCTGAGACATAAAGCTGCAGTAATACTTGAAATCATCTACTAGGCCTCCTCTCTCTTGTGTATTTTTTTGTTCACTTGATTTATGATAATGCTGCAGATCTTTAAGGTCCCTTCCAACCTAGACGATTCTATGATTCTATAAGCTATGACTGCTCACAGCAGATACTACACGTTGTGCTTACAAACCTTCTGAACTCTATAGTGTGTGGCACATCTAAAGTAGAGGAACCTCAGATAAGCCCTGTGTTGGCCAGACTCACACATGGACACTGTGACTCTAACCATATGGATTATATCTAGATCAAAGTAACACGTCATTTCTCCTGCATGCTGCTTACAATAATGAGCTGACAAAATATATTGTTTGGTTATACAAAATTGGCCAGTTAAATTTGTCTTTTCCCTCAAGAAGGTGCTTGAACATGGGCTTGTTACCACCTTGCTCTGAGCCTCTCTTCCCACCAGCAGGCCAGCAGAGACTTCATGCTGCAACCCTGACACATCAATATTGCTTACCTGAGAGTGGCATGATGGCTAAAGACCTCAGATGACTTTTAGCCGTGCCATGGATAGACACGGTCTAACTTGATCCAAATCCTCATCACAACTTTGTATGAAGTCTAGAAACTTCTGGGTCTTCTGAGACATAAAGCTGCAGTAATACTTGAAATCATCTACTAGGCCTCCTCTCTCTTGTGTATTTTTTTGTTCACTTGATTTATGATAATGCTGCAGATCTTTAAGGTCCCTTCCAACCTAGACGATTCTATGATTCTATAAGCTATGACTTCTCACAGCAGATACTACACGTTGTGCTTACAAACCTTCTGAACACATCTAAAGTAGAGGAACCTCAGATAAGCCCTGTGTTGGCCAGACTCACACATGGACACTGTGACTCTAACCATATGGATTATATCTAGATCAAAGTAACACGTCATTTCTCCTGCATGCTGCTTACAATAATGAGCTGACAAAATATATTGTTTGGTTATACAAAATTGGCCAGTTAAATTTGTCTTTTCCCTCAAGAAGGTGCTTGAACATGGGCTTGTTACCACCTTGCTCTGAGCCTCTCTTCCCACCAGCAGGCCAGCAGAGACTTCATGCTGCAACCCTGACACATCAATATTGCTTACCTGAGAGTGGCATGATGGCTAAAGACCTCAGAGGCAGGACACCTCTGGGAAGTGTAGGCAGTGCCTCTATCACAGAGGATGCCTTGCCAAGTTGAAAATTTGTGAGGTGTGGTGCAATTAAAAGATTGGTAGTGTAACACAAGATGTCAACACAAAAATAACCCCTATATAAAACCCTCTAAATTCTCCCAGTAAGGCCTTCAAGGTAGAAGACTCATTGTGTGTACTCTGCATCAAAATACATCCAAACCAACATGACTCACCTCCCTGTAACGTGCTGACAGTTCTACAAAGCCTCAGGAGGCAAGACCTAGCAACTTCCTAGAAAAACTCATATCAGAATGAAGTGTTTCTAGTCCAGTCTATTCCTTGATCTTTCTCCTTTCCTCCCTTAAAGTTCCTGTCCCTTTTCCTTATTGATCTCTTCTCTGATCCGTTTCCTTTCCCCTCAAAACTCTCCTCATCTCTCTAGCTATAGGCACATCAAAACCACTAAATGTTTTTGTTTTTTTTCAAGGAATGGAGCTGTGGCCATCTGGAAACCACCTACTTTGGCCGGAGCGGGTACCTCCAACTGGGAACACTGGGCAGCGGATCCTGTCTGCAGCCCATGCAGGGGTAGGTGGCATGGTCTTCAGGAAGAAGGTGGCAAGAAAAAAGACTGCACATGGTGCCAGTGGAACAAATGCAAGTTGACTTGCATAACTATGTTGCAGAAGCTGCTTTATTTGCCAGATTGCTCAAGAAGCCCAGGCTGGAGGTGCAGAGCAGCCCTGGCACGCAGGGAAGCTGCAGTGCCACCCCTTTGTGACTTGCTTGCACAGGCCCTGCCCTGCTCCCATGCTTGCCAGAAAACACAAAACTGATCCCTAGTCCCCTTTTAGGGAATTTCACTGTGAGAGAATTCTTCTTTATGCTTACCTATGTATTTGATTCCTTCTTAGGCAATTAAAGTAATTCTTTTATCAGCTCTTTATCTAACTTTCTCAAAACGAACATGTGGCACTAATACTCTCTCTGCAGTGATTTACTAACCTCATTAGATCCCAGTGAAACGCAGCAACAGAGGCAGAAGAGAAAGAGCAGGCTGGAGTTGTTAAGAGTTGGTGAGCTCTCACACAGAAGTTAGGAGCAGCGAACACAGCCCCGGTCAGGCAACTCTAGGTCATCTTCACTTGGGGACGGTAACTTGGGCAAAGGACATGAAACATTGACCATGCTCAGCAGATTGTAGCCATAGCTACAGCTTCTGACCACAGGCACGTGGAGTGGAAGGTGGTTCCTTCTACTTCCACTTCACAGGCAGTAGAGCCTGCTTCCCACTCCTCACTCCGGTTCAGAGCTGAGCAGCCCAGCGTGGCTCCCTGTCCTCAATCAGTGCATGGAGTTAACTCCAAGTAAAGAGAGCTAGTGGCTTCTGAAGCAACCTTCTTTTAACATAAACAAAATTCCTTCTTCTGCACTGAACCAATTTAACAGGAGAATATTACAATCACAGCTCAAGTGATGTAACTCTTTACAGAAAAAAGCTTTTATGGGCAGTTATGTATCACAGTTTTTAGCGGCAACTATAAATTCTGCCCTACAGATAATAACATGTTTATTAGCTTTAGCTAATACTTAAGCATTTCTAAATATGGGTTACTTTTTCCTGATCTACACTGTTAATCTACACTGTATTGACAACGTACTTGTACAAGCTTACATGTACTTTAAGCTTACAGAAGTACACGTATGTTTCTTTTCAGACTGATTTAGCTGTTAAAAATAATTAAGCAAATATAGTTTTAGCCTTCTGGAGTGTCTTCAAGTTGAAAATTCAGCATTTCTTCCTACTGTGTGATGATAATTTCCAAGTTACTCTTTTACAAGTCACTTCTTACTCTTCAGAACTTGTTAAGCACAAAAGATTCAGCTCTGGGCTCCACAGGTTTGTGGTAGATAGAAAAACATTGCAGCAATTCTTAAGTCCCCTTCTAGACAGTACAGAAGCTGTGACTGCTCAGCCCCTTTTAAGGATGTCCCAAGGATTAGGTACATGAAACGCTGCAGGGGCTCATGAGTATAAAGTGCAGAGATAAAATGGAGCAGCAGGTACGATTCAGAGCTAGTGTGCAGGGCGGGTCAAATGAAACCTGTTCAGACAGCCTAGGGATCACATCTGAAGATTATACAAACATGCATGACAATGCAATGGAGCTGAATTAAGCAAGCATGGGATAATGACATGCAGTTTTCTGAGAAGAACATAAACAAAGACTTGCAGAAATAAACACCGGTACCTTCCCAGAACACAAAGAAATAAGTCAGCTGCTCATGCCTTACTCATTTTAGTAAGCTGAAGACCAAAAGCCAAAGGTGGAAGCTGCAAATTAGCTAAACACTCATTCTGAAAGTTGGTGGGTTTACAGCAAGCATTAAAAGAATCTGAAGAGGAAAGTATTATCTACAGAGAGTACTGAACCATATATGAACATCCCCTTTTTTTAAATACTGCCTTTTATCTTCCTTTTAGGTCTCTGAAAAATCACAGCCATGGGACAAACAAGAAGAACAAAGCACATCTTAGACTACTTGAAGTAAAAATGGAGCAAAACGGAATGAGCATGAATCAACAATTCTATTATTTACTGGCTGTAGGAGTGCCAGCAGTACATACTGCTGTTGTAACAGCTAGAAGAGTCACCTTCTCAGAAGAGAGACAATTAAGCTACGCATTTCAAAGATGGGCCAAAGTTTAGTCAGCTGTAGGTTTGGAAGTCATACCAAAGTCCACCTCTACCTGTCAGAGTAACATCACAAGAAGAATGTGTACTTACTCAAAGATTATTTTAAAGTCCCCCTGCAGAGTAAACAGATACTTTCCAATAATATGAATCAATACCAACTTTTCTGAGCTCATACTCAAGCTCTAAGGATTTTAGGAATGCCACCTTCAAGATCTATTTTACCAACAGGTAAATGCATTGTTAATTCACTCAAGCCACCAAAATCTGCCCAGCGCACAGCAAAATCTTCCCCTGGAAGTTCTGCAACAGCACTTAACACTGAGGTACCACCTTACTGATTCAAAACAGATTAACCTCCAAACGTGTTGTTACAGCCATCTACATCATTGCACAGTGTCCATCAGCAGTGTGACAGTATCCATAAGCCAACACACATTTACATCCTCACTCATCTGTTGCCTTTCAGCTAACTATGCATTTAAGCAGTCAATACCTGACCTTCCTCAAAGCTTCCAAAGGAAGGTTCAGATTATTAAGCGGTTTCAAAGAAGGGACTGATGTCAGTATGTACCAGTATTTCAAAGACAAGTCCAGTAGTCCCAGTCCTTGGCTCTGGGGTGCAATGAGTGGGCACAGCCAGTGTCCCAGTGACCTGCCTAAGAAGGGGACATTCAGAGAGGCTCTTTTCCACTCAAATCATTCAGATGCCTGCCTGCAGAGTCAAATCTAGAATCAAACACAATCACAAACACAGGGTCAATGAGCATACATGACATGGGACGTGAGTTGATGTGGAAACCAAATCAAAGATAAATTGACCTGAACCCAGGAAAAGAACAAGCAGAGGGTTAGTACACTAACCTGCAGTAGTACAGTGACTGGGAAGCTGCCACAACACAGATGCACAGAATGTTGCTGGGGTCCCATTCTTCAGAAATCTGGTGGAACTGTTGTGTCCAACTGTAACCAGTGGGGCTGAGTCTCAGCGGGAGGGGACGAGACAGCAGGTCCCCTTGTTGTGGCTGCCCTGCTGCATGTCCTAAAAGAAAGTTTGTCCATTTCAGCCAGAAGGTTTGACTTTCTGCCACATCCCCTTCATATTTCCTGCTTCTGAGACTTTCTTTTCAGGTTCAATGAGCCATACCTTCTGTATTTCCTTTCTGATGTTTTATTAGACAGTTGTCAAGATCCCTGGATGTATCCGCTGTTCGGCAGCTGCTCAGGACTGCTGAGTAATAGTTCTGGCAGTACCCGAAATTTACAAAGCTCAGCAATGAAAATCTGAGCTTTCCTGAGCAGAGCAATGACGCCTGATAGTGAAACACAGTGATCATACTCTCCTAGATCTTCTGTGCAGCTTTTCTTTCTAACGTTCTGTTCTCCATCTCCATAGTAGCTAGGGGAAAAAACGACTTAAACTGAAACAAGGAAGATTCAAATTACACTTGAGAAAAAAAAACTTTCTCTGGGCACAGACAGCAAAAAAGGTAGATTGCTTGGAGATAGTGTGGTGCCATCATCTTGGAGGCCTGCAAGACCTGGTTAGAGAAGCATGCCAGAGCTGATCTTCCTGGGGACAGCGGGGTGAAGCAGAGAACTTCCCTCCCTATTTCTCAACAGTTTTGTTGGCTTCGTACAGCTGAAGCTGGGATGCAAAGAAGGATCTTTCTTTAAGACATGCCTGAGAGCACTACCTATGAATATTTATTTCTGTTATCAGAAATAAATTCCTTGTCTTTTCTTATTATAAAAGAGTACAGCGATTCATCCCTGCTTCCAGTGCAGTGCTTTAGTGTGCCACGCCTGAAATACACAAGTGTGTCTATCTTGAAAATCTTGAGATTAGTACAGCTGGGCCTGTAGATTGCAAACAAGCAATAAATGTGCTTTCTTAAATAACATGCCACAGGCTAGAACACCAGGGTGCCAACCAGTGCTGTAATTTGCATACAATATATAAATCCAAAATGCAAAAAAAATTTAAAGTGACCTCCAAACCCAGTGGTATGTGCTGCCTGGAGAGCTCTCTTGGCTTTGCTTTTCAGTCCCATCTCAGCTTTTCTGTGCACATCACTGTACCAGGGGAGGTGGAGGAAGCTTTTATGCTCGCCACCAGTGTATCTTTGGATCAAAAATACAATTCTGGTGGAAAGAAAAACCTCAGAGAAGCAAAGCAATTGCTGCCTGATTTATCCTGAAATCAGAACTATGAGGGGCACTTAACCACTGAATAAATATTCCTACTTGTTAAATTATCATACGTAGCATTATTGAACCTACTAGATACATTTCCAAAAGGTGTGATAAAATCCTGAACTTGAGCCAGGAGTAAACAGGCTCCAAACTGATAGTAAGCACTGATAATAACTGCCTTGCAGTGTCATCAACTGGCTGTTCATAAAAGGATATACATCTTAAAATGTTGCAGCAGCCCCTCCCCTCATACCCTGGAGATATCTGAACATAAAAAGATCACAGACCTTCCTCGAGTTGGCTTTTATCCACGATTTCTGTTTGTTTTGTCCTTGCTGACTCACAGTTGCTATTTATTGTCCCAGGCTCTTCTGCTTTTAAAGTGATTTTAGCTACCAACTGGCACAAATGTGATCGGACAGAGAGATGGTATTTCTCTTGCCTGAAGAACGTCTGACACTGTGAAAGTGATTCCACAATATGGTCCTGAATGCTCCTTTCTATATAACTTCAGGGCTGGAGCTGGGAATTGTAGGAATGGGGACAATAAAGTGGTTCATGGTTTTACTTTACTGTAGATCTTTATCTTGATGTAGGTCATAAGCCTCTGAATTGCATAGGCAATTACACGGGGCTGCTACCAGGACTGTAGCTAAAGCTGCTTACTCTATAATCTATTTTTTTGTAATCAAGAAGTTGGATCCCACTTCAGAACAGATACTGTGTCTCTCCAGCTTTGACTACAAGTCCTTCAGAAGTACCTTCCAATGGACACAAAGATACCCCCTCCTGAACACCAGTGCTTTAAGAAACATTAACAACTTCTGAAACCAAAGGAAATTGTTGGCATCACCCACCAACCCAGGCTTCTTTCAATTATCTTTCACCAAGACTTTTATCAATAATTCCCAAAGCATTTTCAGCCAGCCTTTTATGTCAAGATTTTGTTTAGTTGCTGTTTGATCCGAAGTTGAAACAAACCTGTAATGCTCTGCTGTATCTGCCCCATCTTTCTCAACTTCTGGGTTCTACCTGGCTGCAAGAGCTAACATATCTTTAAAACTTAATTGTCTGGCTCAGTTTTACACTTCTACGGAACATCTTAGCTGTCTTCTTATACAGATGGGCAGTCCAGAAATTCTTGGATTGGATATTCTGCACGTGTAAATCTCCAAATCTAATTCTGAGTTTTCCCTAGGTACCCACCTAGCTGATGTGCCAAATCTTTCGTGCTTTCCACAAGACTTAGGCTTTTGAAAATAAGACTTCACATTAAGCCCAGATTACTGGAGAGCGGTCCAAGGTAAAGATGTTATAGATAACCGATGGGAAGAGATAATAGGTTTCAAGAATAACTTAAGATCCTCCATTATGTCTAAACTGGTGGACCCAGGCACAATTTCGACCTCTTTTTTCAATTTCAACCTCAATTAACATTGGGAAAAACCTTGTTGATAAGACAACAAAATACACGTGCAAAAGAGCTAATCCCTTTAAAATTGAAAAATCATCTTAGTAGTGGAAGAAATAGGGATCGGCTCTGGGAAGGGAAAGCATGAAAAGGCAAAGTGCCAGAATTACAGTCAGATTCTGGTACCTTAATAATACTTTGTCCTTTCACCTGTCACTGAAGCTGATAGTCTGGGCTGAACATGGGAACCGTGCAGTATCCAGCCCTCACAGAACACATAACTTTGGCAACTCACACTACTGCCCGTCACCTGACCCCATCCATTCCCTGTTTCTCCTTTTCCATATGTCCTCATCTCTTCAACACATTATGAAATGTTGTCTTACAGCATAAGCACCAGTACATCTCCTTAGGCATCCTACTCACAGAATCGGGTTCCATTTCCCTGTCAACAAATCTGTCCCTCTGCTTTGGGAAAAACAAGTTTTCCCAAATGATGTCTTTCCTCAGTTTACCAAAGAAAGTTAAGCTCCTTCTACTGCGCCTCAGGAAAATGCTATTCCAGAACCTCTGTTTCATTTATTGTATTTAGATAAAGACAACACTCCATTACTTGAGATCTTAACGGCAGCTCCCTCTAAATGACTCCACCTGGGTATTTGCTTAAGTTGGTTTTATAACATCTACTTGTAAATCCCAAGCAATTGTAAAAAAACTGCAATATGTTGAGAAAAAAAAAAAAAGTTTACAGCTTACACTCTGTTCTGTAGGCAGACAGTTATGGTCCCCAATAAGCCATTTGACTCAAAAATTAATGGAACAGCAGTATGAAAGACTTCTACCTTACAGTTCCTTCCATCTGCATTGAATTTCTTTAATTCCTCCTACCAACAATGCCCTGCTCTCTCTTACATGTATCAAAGATGAAGGTATTTTCTGTTAACTCTGGCTCTCCTGTGCTCTTCACGTGCTCCAACCAATTCAACAGTTTTCATCAATACCTTCACATTGAACTCATTGCAAGAATGGCCCTTCAAGGACTTCTTGAACCATCCCTTCTCCCTGAGGACTTCTGCGTAGCTGTAGCCCACTGCCTGAAAGTGAATCGCCACGTCGGTACAATCATGGCTGGTGCTGGTGATTCCACCAAGGAACAGCCAAGCATCTAAAGCATTTAGAAAAGGGTTAGAAATCTCATCGGCATGAGTCCAGGTCCACCAAGAACAACCTTTTCTAGACGGCTGCAGAACTGTAGGATATTGAAAGGCTGAGGACGGCAGCAGCAGTTAGAGGGCTGTGCCCATCAAAACTCCAATCTACTCTTGCTTACTGCTCCTTCTCACCACTTCACATGTCCCAAGGACAGCATCCTGGAGAGACAGCTCATGGCAACAGGCACAAACTTTAGCCTCCTATGACCTGATCATGCGAGCAATGAACAGAGACAAGGTAAACAGCAGCAATGCCAACTGCCAGCTAAGGCACCAGTGAGGACAGCAGGACCAAGTGACTGAGACAAGCAACAGGCAACAGCTACTCACCAACCTGCTGTGACCTTGTGGAGGTAGCACTTGGAGCCTTCCAAGAGCAACATACCTGACCATCTTTTCTTCTGTCTCTTTCTCCACAGACAGGTAAGTTTCAGATTTGCAACAGCTTGATTTAAAAACATTTGCATGCACATGGGTGGGTGTGTTTATTTATTTTCACGGGTAAAGATGCAAGACAGGATGCATTTTAAGCCACAGAACAATTCCATAAGATGCTTTACACTTTTGCACCAGTGCAATATGTGGTGGTTATACTTATCCTGCACTTATTATAGAAATAAAAACAGCAATGCTTTTATGAAAAAGCTGATCTAGTCTCTGGAACAAAAGCAATCAGAGTTTTGTAAAGCCTACCAAAAAACCCCACATCACTTGAGCAACAAACCACAATCCATATTTCAACAGAAGAAACTTTTCTATGGTTATTTAAAAAGCCTCTGTGCCTTCATGACAACAGCCTCTTCTCTACTCGAGCCTTGCAACAAAGCAAATGGTAACAGGCCAGTTTGGGCTGCAGGATCAGAAGCCAGCAGCTGCATGGACCCTTTCTCAGCACTTCTGCTATCAGCTGCCTTCTCTTCTTGAAAAGATTCAATAGCATCTTAACCTGCAAGTTATCCAAACATTTGCCATCATGACAAAGAGTCACACTGGTCACAGTCCTTTTTTTGCCCTCTAAGTGTAAAAAAACCTCGCACACTTCTTCCAGTTTTTACTTTGCTCCAACTTGGTGGACAATGCCATCTATTCCCACTTCTGCCGAGTACAAAACGAAAGGGAATGTGCCCCATTTTTCTGCAAGAGATGTTAAAATCAGGATGAGAAACTTACATCTACTGTTGGCCTCAGAGACAAAGCTTTTTTTTATCCTCCTCTTTGTTCCCAAGCTGGCTTTAGAAACCAACAAAGCCAACAAAAAATGGAATGAGTAGCAGTCACTCGCAGGTACAACGTCCTGAAATAGCTAGGCCTGGAGACCACAAGCTAATGGACTGCTGTGGCCCCCCAGTGGGACCAAAAGCACTAACTCTGGGCCAACCTCACAGGGAGGGAAAAGTCACGTCTGGTAGCTGTGCCTCCTGGAGTATGAGCAGTGGGAAGGAAGTCAGAGCCCATGAAACAGCCTGTGACTTCATGTCTGCATCTACAGAATAACGCTTGTAAACTCAGAGGATTTCTAAGTAGACAGGAGTTGCACCCTCAGTGTACCAAGAATCTTATTTCTATGGACAAAGCACCATTGGAGACATCTCTGGCCATAACCAGTGGCCATGTTGCAGTATCAATTTCTAGATTTTCTTCCTGGTACGAGATTCAAACAGCAATCACACGATGCCATTGAAGATCCTGCTTTCACCCCATTAATCCTACTTCATAATGACAATTTCACCTGTTGAAACTATGGAGCACTGCACTTGTACTCTAGAAAATAAACATCCCTAAAGTCTTATGCAAAAGTGTGAATTCTCTCAAACACAGAATCTCAAGGTCAGGTGATTTCAGCCCTTTATTTTCGTGTCCACATGCAAATATTAATTCTCTACAGGAATTGGTTACTTCTGGCTGTGAATATTCTTCTCATGTTAAAGAGGAAGAGGGCTAAAACCGTAAAGGATGAACTGGAGCTACTCAAGCTCTTCCCTCTGCTAATGACAGGCAAAAGAGGTGGCTGTGCTGCTGCCCTGGTGACACTGAGCTCCCGGGTGTCACAAGGGACAGGGGTGGTTCTAGAACCTTCCTGCACCACCAGCCCCTCTGCTGCTCGGCAGAGCGCACAAGCCGGGCTGCTCGCTCAGCTCAAGACCCCACCTGAGGAAAGACGTGAATCCCGGCTCCACAGTGAACGTTACCTGCTGCAGCTCACAAAAAGGTGAAGGAGGTCCTCTACAGCACTACTTCTCTCTCAGGTAGTTGGACTTTTCCATCCATCACGTCACCACGTATATGCTCGCCAGGTATAGACTAAGAACTGCTGAAAAAGCAATAAATGACCTGAGTTACATTTTTTGTCAAGAGCCCATTAACTCAGTCAGATATAAGACTACTCTAACGAACTGCTGTCCACAGCCTTCATAAGGAAAGGTGAAGCCTCTAAGTATTTTTGAACACTGCAACAATAATCAACGTTCTGGGTGTGATTTGATCTAGCACGTAAAAATGACAGTGCTGGCTGGTAACATTGTTCTGTCAAACGTCCAGTTATTTGTGGTGTTGCTGCATTTAATTTTTTTTTAAATATTACCAACATTGTTTGCTGCTATTTTGGTTAAGTAACATCCCTAAGATCCCCAAAACATGCTGTACCAGCACTCCTCAGGGGGCAAGGAGCAAGCAGGCAGCTTGCTTCCACCCTCCCATGCTTACAGCTTCTCCAAATTCTGCAGAAGTAAAAATAACAACAGTAATTGAAGTTTCTGCTACCTTTCAGTCTACGTGAGTTCATGTTCTTTACTTCACCTCCAGCGTTTGGCCCCAGGCAATCAGCAGAAGAGCCAACCTGCTCTGCAGAAAGACCCTCAGCAAGAGGACACAACAAATACCAACAACATGTCGCAGAACGACCAGCGTTCCTCTGAGTCGAACGGCTCAGGGGAAATCTACTACTACTTGTCCAGGAACGTTCCCCATCCTCGGATGGTCTGTCACATGCAAGGTGAGAGCTGCTGAGGGACCACCCTTTTGTTGCAAAAATACCCACAGCTCCCCTTTCCTGTTTCTGTCTAAGGGGAGCATTTCCTAAAAACAAGCTGTTGCCTTCATTTCAATCTACTAAGCACCCAGACCTGCCCTCAGCAATGAATGATCTCAGGTTGGTAACATAAAGGTTGGCAGCACTAAAATCCTTACAAGGTGCAACTAAAACTATTTCACCAAGACAACTGTCTGGGATTTCTTTTAAGCTCAAATAATCTCTTCCAAGCTAAATAATTTCTTCCTTATTCCTTCTGTGCTCACAAGTGTACCAGAGTACAGGTTGTCACGATTTCTTTCTCTGGTTCACTCTCAGCTAAATAATTCTTGTACCCTTCCAGGAGCAACCTATTACACAATACAGCATTTAATGAGAGTAACCTGCTGCTCTAAAAACAGTGTGCTGCTCTGCTGTCTGCTAGATTTAGCTGTGATTACTCTGCCTACACCTGCAAGGAATGTGCTCAAAATCAGTGGGCCATCTGCATCGGCAGAAGAAATAGCACTTCTAGGAATGGGCTTTTGTTTCAGAAGCTGACCCTGTATGGTTGCACAAAGACATCTTTCTGGCAGTGACTGAAAGAAAATTGCTGACACACGGCCACATTTACACTGCAGAGGGCACATAGGGTGATGGAAGGAAAAAAAAAGGCTCCCTGGGGACTGTCAGAAGCAGTAGATACTGCATCAGGGTTGGTATTGGCAGATGAGTCTGTGATACGACTTTGGTAATAAGGGACGGAGGGCGATGCAGCACCCAATCAGTTGACTAAAGCTGAATTTCTTGCATCTCAGAGGGGATGCCCTTGAAGGAACAAAGCAAGACTCCTCCTTGCAGACTGACCACCCAACATATATGGTACACAACTGTGCGTGTGCATATGAGTCTGTGATATGACTTTGGTAATAAGGGACGGAGGGCGATGCAGCACCCAATCAGTTGACTAAAGCTGAATTTCTTGCATCTCAGAGGGGATGCCCTTGAAGGAACAAAGCAAGACTCCTCCTTGCAGACTGACCACCCAACATATATGGTACACAACTGTGCGTGTGCATATATATATTTCTCTATATATATAAAATCTACCTGAAGTAAAAATCTAGAACACACACAAAATAAAGTATGTATTTAGGTGTGTATCTCTCTCTCCTTCTAGAACCAGGTAAAAAAGACCAAAGGCAACAGAGACCCAAGTCTTACATGGCTCAGCCAGATTAATGGGATGGATATCTTTGTACTCTCAGCAGAGAAACGTTGAGCCGTAATTACTTTCTGCTTAATATCAATCTTATGTCAGGTACTAAACAGAATCAAGGTTCTGAAAATCCTCATCAGCTACTTAACAGACCTGCCTCTTTGCCAAGTTAAATCCAGTTCGACTTACCGGTAACAATAAAAATAGTGGTTGCTTATAGAATTCCTTTTACCCTGGCTAAGAAAGGAGGGATCTAGGTCTTCAGTAAATGCTGTGACTCTCGTTGAAAGCCACACACCTTACAAACACCTACAGATCACCTACTGCGTGTTCACTGCAGTAAAGGCTTTATCCTTTTGGTTCTCCCACAGGATTAAACAACGCCCCGGTGTGTCTTGTCAGAAGCATCCTTTCGGGACAACACCCAGATGCTGCCGACACAGTCACCCCCCAGCAAGAAGCTGATCAAGAACATCATGTGAGAACAGCAACTGGGAACGGCAGGCGCAACGCATCTGCCACCCACCACCTTCCAAGCCTTGAGGCTTTCCTGCAAAGGGAGCCAGGCACTTCACAGCCCACGGCACGTGAGTAGGGGCACCAAATCACCCTGTGAGACAGCAGCAGAGGAGGAACCTGTGCCGCTAAAGGGTGCAGCGGGGGTCTCAGCCAGGGCACTGTGTCACTGCAGCTCAGGTCCAGGTAAAGGGAGCGTAGGGCAATGAACATACATTCAAAAGATAAGTATTTCTTCCCCTCTATGCGCATTAGTCACCACATCTTACAAGATTTCTCCTCGCTAATTACCCTGGCATCTTTAAAGCTTTTAGAGATTACATGCTCAAGAGACATCTAAGAATTCCCCAATTATCAGCAATTATTCCACCTGTAAGCAACATCCTGCAGTAGTGGTTACACAGCACTATAAGCACACATCTATGAAAGGCACTTTCTAGGATTTTCTTCCGATTTCTTAGGCATCTTGGCAAATAATTGCATTAATGTACTATGTGAAGTAGTAGAAGCAAACAGAAAAGGAAAGCAATACATCCCCTTAGAGAGAGCTAAAACATGGCTCAGGCATTTTTGTAATTAAGAATGCCCCCCCCTCCAATATAACCTAAGGTGTATCTTACGACCTTTCTGTTTCAACTTGAGAAAATACTCTGTTGATTTCCAGAAGGACACGCAGATGTTCCTGAAAAGATTCAAAGCAAGCCTACTACACCTGAAAAGGTAAGGGAAAAAAAGACACAGCTCTTTATTTTTGCACACTCTCTCTTGCTTCTCAACACTGTCAGTTCAGGTTCCAGTCTCAGACTGCTCAGGAAGACAGCGCAGAACCCAGAAGAGGGAGGTGAGGGTCTCCTGTGTAGAACACGAGAGCTTGGAAGGGAGATGGTGTCCAGCAGGCTGATAACTAAGCTCTAACTGTGTATCACTTCCAGTTCTGTAACATCACTGTGCTTTGCTAGCAAGAAAAACGGTCAAACTCAATGAAGATGGGAATGCAATTCACTTTGTTTCAAAACGCCGGGGAAAAACATCACACTAGACAACAAACAAGCACAGGAAAGAGCCTCCTCCCCGCACAACACAAAGACTTGATCCAGCTTTGCAGCTGTGTTCATAAAGTCCAGGAAAAGATTTTTCCTGCAATAAGTCTTCAGTCCGAAGCTGTAGGCTATCGATTTACTTGTCTCCTCTACTGCCACTGTAGGAGAGCTGAGGGCTCAGTTAGTGTTCCAGCACAAGGTAGCACAAGGAGGATCGCAGGCTCTCGAGTTAAAAAAAGGGAATGCAGGTGTTGCTGCCCCGGTAGTGGACAGCAGAGGGCACTACGAAGACGGCTGGCACTATTATAAGGACTCCCTTTTTCCCTAACTTTTCTATTTAAACCGAGAAGGTGGGGTCTGTCTGTCTAAATGTTGCTTTTTGATTCCCGAGATGGGCACAGTAAAGCCTATGCCTTATTTTTACTGTTCACTTATTCAGGCAGAACACAGTTCTTCAAATTTTATTTACTGGGGTTTGGCTGCAAAGTAACTACCAAAATAACCACCAAATGGATGGATAGTGCCATGTAGCCACACTCAGTAAACTACTGTTTCTTAATAGTTGTTAGCTGCCTTTTGCTTTTCCTCTGCACTTACAAACAGAACCTTCTGCCAGTCACATTTTCATTCCTGGGCCCTTCACAGACTCCAAAGCCTGCGCGCAGAGAAATGCAGAGCAGTGGCTCAGCAGCACACTACCAGCCCATGATGGAAAGGCAAACAGGCCACAGAGATTTAATCTCTTCCTCATCGGATTTCTATCTTAAAGGTCTCTTCCAACCAAATCAATTCTATGATTAGTACCTACCTGACATCACTTTCATTCTTATGCCAAAATCCAGCTCTTTTCAAAACACACAGCCATTTCAAAAAGATATCTCAAAGCCAAACATGGTTTACAATTCTACGTATTTTCTTCAGCAAAAGGGAAAAGTCCAGTGTTACACATCATGCCACGGATACCTGTTATGATTCTTGGTGACCATTAGAAGCTGTAACGACCCATATGTGGCCATATTCAGCTGAAGAACCGTTTCAGAGGTGTCTTCTGCTGCACACCCTTGCTGTCTGTGGTCTAGCGTTAGCGGCACACTTCACATTGTCTTCAATTGCCACCTAAATGGATTCAAGCCAAATCTTTTCACTTTCTTTTCTATTTTGGAAAAGCTTTTGAAAAAACAATCCCAAGCTTCTACACCATCTTCAACTCGACAGGGAGCCCGCAGTGTGTCTGTCACCCCGCCTTCCTCTCCATCTGTCAACTTGCGTCCTGGTGCTCATGTCCAGAACATGAACGTGGACCTCGGCTACCTGGATCAGGACATGAAGGTAAGACTGGAGTGCTGTAGTATATGGCTTCCTATAATGTTACATATTTTTCTTGAGGATGTGTGGGGTGTTATTTGTCCATTTTTTTCCTCCCAGCGTGTATTCTACTGACTTAATTTGATGTTCAGGATTTACTCGGAGTTGCTTTCACCTAACTGGAAGGTGCTATTGGCCAATCCCTGGGGGAGCACTGCAACTGGCACACGGGCTGAAACTTGTGCTCCAGAACACAGCCTGCAAATATTGCACGTCACACACAAGGGGTTTTACACGTAGGAAACACTACTTGCCATTTCCTTCCTGTGCCTCTGAAGCACTGTGTCCATGGCACTCTCTGGGCATCACCTTTTGCGGTCTGGTGGCCTTCGCTCACACTGGGTCAAAACTGGTGGGACACCTTATGCTGGGCAGTGGGCACAGCTGTAAAACTGCATGCTGACAGGGCTAGAGCTAAACTGCAACCCACACAACAATTGGGTGGTGAGACAGCTTCTCTTCCTTCACGGTTACCATCCTGTACATCTTCCAGGTGCTGGAAAAACTTGGCCAAGTTTTGCAGACAGATTCGGTTACCCAGATCCAGAAATGGTTTGAAACGGCAAGTATAGAAGGTAAGAAATGGGTGCATCTGCATCCCTTTCTGAAAATCACGTGCTCCTGCACGTTGTTGTAAAACCCTGAAAGTCTCATAGACCTGAGCAGAGTGGGGTTGCTGAGGTGGAAGGAACAGGCTTGGCTGTGCTGAGCAGTAAGGTGACAGGACACAGAAATCACTCACTCAAACCTCAGTGCACTCAGGTTTGGTGCTGGGGGACACACGTGCTCTCCCAGTGGAGCTCTGGGCTGCTGTGGGCTGGGGGAGGCAAACAACAAGTGTCTCTCTTGTGGCCTTAAGCCCTTTGAAAACGAGAAATGAGGTTAGAGAATTCCTGAATTCACCCCTGAACTTCCAGACCAGCAGTAGACTTCAGTAGAATTTCTGTTGCCTTCCCATTTCAGAGAAAGGCTTCGTGTACAGACTGATTTTCTCAAAACCGACTGACAAAGGTGTGCTGAACTCTAAGGAAGGTCCAGCAGAGAACATGAACACCCAGACTCTGCTACAGCCTCACCCTCTTCCTCGGAGGGGACCAGAAGGGGATATGAATCAGTCCAGGTAAAACCTGCAATGAGGTTGTGAGGATTGGGGACAGACTAAACCCTGTAACCAGAAACCCTTGTTTTCTCCTCCCATGAAACACTTATCATGCACAGCCTGAAGCAGAAATGCTCCTAACTCCAAACAACCCCACGCTCTTTGATACAACTTTGGTTACTACAGGAAAAGCAGAAAGTTTCTGGAGTACTTAAAACCCTGTTGGGAAAAAAACCCACCTGTACATTATACTACACAGTTTTTACTAGTTATAAAGTTAAACATCCTTTCTTTTTTATTCAGGTCTTCATCCAGGTCATCAGTGGCGAGTCAAAACATTAATCAGGGTAAGTCACAGAAATTACAAATGTTAAGATACCGTATGTCTTGGGTGCAAGTCACCAAACAGCACAAGGACTGTGAATCTTCCAAAGCTCTAACTTCTGTCTTCACAGCACTACCCAAATTAGAATCACAGAATTCAGTGACAATATGATTCTCATATTACATTTTAAACCTGAATTTATGTTCACCAAGAGTATCACTAAGATACGCAAGACCCTCTATACAGCTGTATCTGCCTCTGCTAGAAAGAACACAGCAGCGAGAGGTACTGAGTTCATCTCTTCACCAAAGTCTGCACCTGTGAGTTAAACACAAGCTGAAACTCCTCCTTCTGCCAACAAACTTGGGGATTTGCCAGTCTTGGCACTCCCACGAAACACCACTCTCACCTCTTTCTGTCCCTTCTAAAGCACACAGAAGCAACAAGAGTCACACCCAGAGTGTTATCATTTAAACAAAGCCATTCATGCCAGCTCTAATGCTACCAGCTTTCTAACTCCTCCAGTTGGAGTGGGTGGAGAGTAATCTTATGTAAGAACAAATAGGAAAAAGAAGGAACTGCCAAAGCAACAGTCTCTCCTTTTCCAAGTGGTGCCCAGGGACGATTCCTTGGTAAAGTGTGGATGTGCTTCTATACTATCAGCTGCGTGTGGAACAAAGCTAATCCAGCCTAACATCACCTTAACCCTAGCCTGATAATGTGTATCAGCAAAGCTGCTGATAGCTTGCATTTTCTAAATGTTTTCCAGAAAGCAACAAAGAACGTCTTTTGCTCTCAAGGCTGAGGAACACGAGTCCAGCAGAAGCAGACACACTGCTCCCAGGGAAGAACTGCAACTGAGAAAGTGCAAGGGAGACAAGAGACCGTCCTGCCTTCACACTCCAGAAGTCTCACCTGTGCCACAGCCACCCCCAAACAAGAGATATCCCCTTTCCACTGGTGGCACTTCACATAGAAAAATACGTAATCTTAGCCTTTATATTACAAAGATAGATAAAATAAACAAATTGTTAAAATAAACAAATAAATAAATGTTCATTATATTTAGTCCTCAAGTGATTCAACCAAATCATGCTGCATAGGTACCTGAGAAGTGAGCTAAATGGAAAAAAGCAGAGAGGCCACTCTTTTTGGCATCACATTAATCTTTTTGTGGGACTCAGCCAAGAGCTCTTGTGAGCAGCCTTGACTCTACAGTCACAGACATCCTGGGGTAAGAAGAGGGGCACACACACGATCTGCAGAGATGCACATCAAGCCCCTGGCACTGGGGAAAAAAGTGCCCTGGAGTTTCAAAATCTGGCCAGCAGAGTGACTGCAGATGTCTGCCTCACAGCAAGCTAGAAATTGCTTCCATATCTCTCATTATTACCAGAGAAGCACCACAAATTGTAGCATCCGGTGGTGGGAGATGGGATATGGATGGGACCAACACCAAACAAGTATTGAAACCACCACACAAATCTCAAGCCATTGAAATAGGGGCCCACAACGACAGAAATGTATCTGGATTAAGGACACAGCATGGGAAATACACCAGAGTATTTCAGGATCAGAGTGAAACACAGCACAAGAACAAGACCATTCGGGATGCTGGCTAAGGCAGCGGTGAGGACAGGTGATTGAGACAAGCAACAGGCAACAGCTACTCACCAACCTGCTGTGACCTTGTGGAGGTAGCACTTGGAGCCTTCCAAGAGCAACATACCTGACCGTCTTTTTCTTCTGTCTCTTTCTCCACAGACGGGTAAGCTTCAGATTTGCAACAGCTTGATTTAAAAACATCTGCATGCACATGGGTGGGTGTGTTTATTTATTTTCACGGGTAAAGATGCAAGGCAGGATGCATTTTAAACCTCACTCCGGCTCAGCAGAGATGAACAGTTACGATGGCGTCTTCTTAACCTCTTCAGAGGATCTCTGTGAAAGCTGCACTTGTTCAGAACCTGTAGCTACCTGGTTAGTCCCTGCAGAAGAAAGGGATGGGGAAGGCTCCCAAGGTGTCCATTTCAGTACTTGGCAAAAGCACTTAAGTCACTTAGAAAGAAATTAAATCAGAACCTCCAGCCAAAACTGAGATTGCAACTTTTTTTTTTTCTAAAAAGGAAAATATTTGACAGACATATGGCAATACATACAGAATCCTGGGCTAAAACAAGTATACTGAAACTGAGGGACTTGTAAGAAAGAGTTCCCGTCTCCTGGTCTTGTTCTGAGACCACGTGATACATTTTGCTAAGAGGCTCAAAAAGTAACCAAAAGATTGTGTCACCTTAAATCAACATGCACCATGTACCAACCAAGACACACAATCTGCATTTGGGCAGACATCCATCCCACTCAAACTGAAGTATAAAGCACTGGCTTAACCCCACACTCGTATTTCATCTACTGACCCCAGCCAGGTAAACATGGCACAGAGATCTGTGTGGCTCGGCTGATGGAGGCAGTTCAGGTGCTTGTGATTGTCTGTTGAGATGCTCAGGGAAACTACAGTTTTTCTTGATTTTTTCTGAGTGTCCACGCACACTTTGTAACAAGCACTACTGGTACAGGTTTTGAGGTCACAGGAACGCTTGTCATTCACTGCTTTTAAGAAAATGTAGAGCAGAAATAGAGAAGATGCATCCGTTAAAATAGTAATTACCACTGCTCTTGGGTAATACACCCAACTTGGCATGTATAATTTTTTTTTTTTTTTTAAATAAATAGCTTCCTCTGGGAAACAAAATAAATACCGCATTTACCATTAATTTATTTTTTTTTAAAAAAAGCTATTAATATTGAAGTTTCAGGGTAAAAAACTTGTATTTATCTCTACCCTTCATGTCCAAAACAGCTCTAGGGCAACTATTGAACTACCAAGCATTGAGTCAATTCAGTGTCACAAGGGCAGCAGATGGTCTTTGGCGTGCGACCGCATGTCCCATGAACTGTGTGTCTCCTCTCTCCCATCTTCTCCCTCTGAAGCCTAGCTGCTTTTTTTTTTTTTTAAATAAAATAAATAGCTTCCTCTGGGAAACAAAATAAATACCGCATTTACCATTAATTTATTTTTTTTTAAAAAAAGCTATTAATATTGAAGTTTCAGGGTAAAAAACTTGTATTTATCTCTACCCTTCATGTCCAAAACAGCTCTAGGGCAACTATTGAACTACCAAGCATTGAGTCAATTCAGTGTCACAAGGGCAGCAGATGGTCTTTGGCGTGCGACCGCATGTCCCATGAACTGTGTGTCTCCTCTCTCCCATCTTCTCCCTCTGAAGCCTAGCTGCTGTCCGAGCCGTTGCCTTCATCTTCTTTTCCAGACAGAGCGTGTTTGGACGAATCATTGGCCTCTCCCAAAGGAACAGCCCCTTTCCGCTGTGGCAAGACACTGAAAAAGGCCTCCTTCCAGTCTCTCTTCTCCAGGTACGCAAGGATGATCTCAAATACTGCAACGTCAAGAAAGAACATCAGCTCTTTTACAGGGAGACAAGCGGACTGCTGATAGAAGCACCCCCCCAAATCTGTCTTTACAGAGGTTTACATGCATTCAGTTGTGACATCTTCAGAGTAAAGCTGGTGAAGAACAGGCAGAAGCAGACAAGGCAATTCTGCTCCTGAAGCAAAGCACACTTTGAGTCTCCAGTTGCAAGACTTACTACAGCAGTGCTTTTCTGCAGCAGCTCCAGTACTTGTCTCACCAGTGGCACTTCTTTACAGGCACTAATGCCTTCCTGTGTTTGACAATGACTTTGTGCCCTCCCTAACATATGGGCAGCTTCCTAAAACCTGTTATCATTAGCTTTCTCTTTCATTTCCAGCTGAGCTTATCCCCCAAATCCTTATTAGCCTCCAATTCTGTGACCCTTTCTTGCTGTTTCCATTATGCTGACCATACGGTCACCCTCCTACTCCTCCTGTTTCAGCTCCCAAAACTTTTCCTGAGTGACAAGAGCTTCAAATTGCATTATTTGTGAAATTCATCAGCAAATTCTTATTGAGAAAAATCCCAGGCTATCAAAAAAAAAAAATCTCTCAACACAGATTGTGGCTCAGGGGCAGCAGCAGGAGGCTGGCTCTATGGCTGGTGAGGAAGCCAGATTTGGATGACAAATCTGGGACAGAGGGGTGGCTCTTCAAGCTTGGGGCTACAGGAATAGTGCTAACAACACTGGAGAATGCTGACTTCAAAGAATGCACCCAGTACAAGCGTTCTCGATGCCAAGCGACAGCATACGAGAAAGGATCAAAGGAGCTGTGGAGGGGAAAAAAACCTTACAGAGAGTTAGGCAGGCATTCAGGAGTGCAGGAGCAGCAGGGATCTCATACTCTTTGAGAGTCAAGTTACAGAAAAGTGTCACATTTACTAGAGGTTTCCTGGATCCAGGTTTATTGGACGGCCAGCTGCTCTCTGTGACATTGATATTGAAGAGCCTGGCCATTTTACTAACCAGATTATTCACCTGAAACATACTGTGAAGATATGAGCTGTCAAAGGACTGTATTAATATCACTGGAAGTTACTGCATAAAGCATCTGTGGCAAAAATGGTGGCTTTAGAACAAGAAAAGTATAAGGACCAAGTTTCTTCTCCTTTGCTTGAAACTTCCTTTATCTGCACGGTAAAAACAGAACTGATAGAAAGAGAGCAGCCTCCACAGGGGAACAGAGGCTTCTATGATGGGCTGCAATAGCAACAAAAATATTATCCAAGGACAGAAAAAAGCAGTGGGGAGAGCTGGCAGACATCCCTGCAGATTGGAATGGAGTACTATGGTCCCGTAGCACACACTGCAAAATACAAGCCTTGGGATACAAACCTGAACAGAAGGAAACAAACTCTCTCAGCTACACTTGCAGTTGTGTTTTGCCTACTGTATTTTACATGGATCTCAAATCTTGCAAGTTTTAAAATTCCAGATCAAATTAAAAAAACTAAGTCTCATCTTACACCTTGTCAGTTTTCTAGCATCAAATACTTCACACATACACGTGTTCCACCTGCCATTTTGACACAGCAGTGCAGACCTGTGGAAATATGGGGAACTTGATCCCAAGAGAGAAAGATTATAAATTAGTAAGTAAAAAGCAACAAGCAAATTCTGGTGTTAATGACGACGCCAATCTCCCACCACCAGAGGGCCCATTTAATTAAAACGCTTCAAAGCCTGACAAGGCAGTTCAGAAAGTTTCTTCTACAGGACTTTCCAAATTCCCACTTATCAAAAGTATCCCACAGTGACCAGGCAGGTCCCACAGTCTCATCTGGTGAGGCCTGTACTGTACATTGCCAGCTTCAGCTTCTGCACCCAGAGGGGGAACCCAGAGGCCAGAACAACCAGATCAAAACAGAAAGGATGACATAAGTCTCATCTTAGACCTTGTCAGTTTTTTAGCATCAAATACTTCACACATACACATGTTCCACATGCCATTTTGACACGGCAGTGCAGGCCTGTGGAAATATGGGGAACTTGATCCCAAGAGAGAAAGATTATAAATTAGTAAGTAAAAATCACCAAGCAAATTCCGCTGTTAATGACGACGCCAATCTCCCACCACCAGAGGGCCCATTTAATTAAAACGCTTCAAAGCCTGACAAGGCAGTTCAGAAAGTTTCTTCTACAGGACTTTCCAAATTCCCACTTATCAAAAGTATCCCACAGTGACCAGGCAGGTCCCACAGTCTCATCTGGTGAGGCCTGTACTGTACATTGCCAGCTTCAGCTTCTGCACCCAGAGGGGGAACCCAGAGGCCAGAACAACCAGATCAAAACAGAAAGGATGAGCAATTACACAGTTACACAAAACAGTAAGGTGGATGTTCTCACAGCAACATACAAAAAGCTCAGTGCAAATCTCCTTCTCACCTCCACAAAATGAGACTTGAGAGGCAGCTTGATTCTGTCCACCTTACGCCAAGTAGAACCTCCCTTGAAAGCTGTCTTTTTGCATTTAGGTTGTAAACTATCAGGGTTATAATATACACCAAAGCCTTAATTACAACTTTAAAGGTACCTCTACTTTTGGTGGTGGTGGCATTGTGGTTATTTTCCTGCCCAAAAGCCTTAAGCAAAACACTGCTATAGTATAATCTTTATCTTAAACAAGAAAAGCTCAGTGCAAATCTCCTTCTCACCTCCACAAAATGAGACTTGAGAGGCAGCTTGATTCTGTCCACCTTACGCCAAGTAGAACCTCCCTTGAAAGCTGTCTTTTTGCATTTAGGTTGTAAACTATCAGGGTTATAATATACACCAAAGCCTTAATTACAACTTTAAAGGTACCTCTACTTTTGGTGGTGGTGGCATTGTGGTTATTTTCCTGCCCAAAAGCCTTAAGCAAAACACTGCTATAGTATAATCTTTATCTTAAACAAGGTCTGTGTGTTAAGAGCTTAAACAGGGTCTGTGTGTTAAGAGCCCTTCATCTGCAATTTGAAAATATTTTTGAAGGGCAAGGAAAGACAACCTCATGCAAAATGGAATCTTGCCAACTAAATTGCCTGGCTCAAGAAACATGCCCAAGACCATAAAGCAGATAAATGAAAGCCTCAATGAAAGTAAGCGATCCAATTTATACCCCGTGCTCAAACCTGTAAAAGACAGCCTCCAGAAACGTTGACACTAGAGGTCAGTATAAGATTATTGCAGAAAAACTCCAACAGAAAGCTACAGCTATCATAACTGCTGATGAGTAACACATGAAGTCCTATTCTTGTCTATATAGAGCAACATGTCAAGTTAAAACATGCAAAATCGTACATACACATGGAGTTTGAAAATTTTTAATTCCAATGATATCCTATATTCTCCTCCACATTTAAATAATCTTGATTATCATGCAAATACATACCTCATCAACCAATGGCATTTTCAGAAAATAAAGTTATCATCAAGCAATGTGTTATATAATAAAATAAACTTGAAATAAAGCAAGTATGATTATCATGCAAATACATACCTCATCAACCAATGGCATTTTCAGAAAATAAAGTTATCATCATGCCACATGTTACATAATAAAATAAACTTGAAATAAAGCAAGTAAGATAAAATTTCCATAAAGGTCTGAGCAGGCTCCATTTTGCATGTATTTTTGTTTAATGACAATGAAAGATAATTTAATAATAAAACTGAAAGTTTAAGAGGAGTGGGATTCAAGACTTGGTCAAGCAATTGTACACTTCAATCAGAACCAGGAAACCAAAGTTTAAAAGGAGTGGGATTCAAGACTTGGTTAAGTAATTGTACACTTCAATCAGAACCAGGAAACCCTGTAATAATGGTTATGAAAGCTCAGCAAACGGAGTTTTGCTGATACCAAACGAGGCCAGTCTGCAGGTACCCAAGCAGTTACTGCTGAACAGAGCTGCACAAAGAGGTGAAAACATCACATACATTTATCCTCCCCTGAGATAAAATACACGTGATAGTTTCCAGCGTTTTATTCACTTATATATTAAGCCTGGAAACAAGACCAGGATGGGAAGAATGGCAAAATTACTCATGGGACAAGTCAACAGACTAGAAGGTGCACTTCTAAGGGGCTAAGACACTATCCCTTACATTTAGCCATATCTAAAATACTTAAAGGTCAGGGCAATTACTGTATCCCAAAGGCAACTAGATTCAAGAAATATCAACATAATAAAATAAGATTTAGGCAACTGCACTACAGTGCAAATTTTAAGGGTTCAAATTCTGAATATTTCAGAGATATTCTACAATAATGTCAATATTTTGTGATTTAAAACTTACCATGGTTGACAGCTAACACTTTCCGACTGTTCATCTTGACAAAGTTTCCCAGCGGGAGCTGTGCGTGACCAATTCCCTGCTCTACAGCTTTTCTGTAAGTAATTCCCTGTGGGAAAGACACCAAAACAGCCGGACTGAGAATCGCCGTTTCAGATCAGCCCGTAACAGATTACTCAGGTATCATTCTCTGACAGGAGTTTTGCCAGGGCTGCTGTGATCTCGCTTCAGAAGGTATTTACAAAAAGAAACTTACCCTAGTTCGACAGTACCTGCTTCAGGGCCTACCTCTGGAAAACTTACTACTTTGATTGTATGTCACACTGTGATGTAGGGGCAAAAGGATCATAAATAAAACTTGTTCATGCAGCTGCAGCTCTAGAACGTGTCAGCCATAGCCCGTTTTAAAGGTGAGTGTATGCTTAACTGCAAAGTCACTCAGATTGCAGTAACCAGGTATTTTTTGAGAGGAAGAGTGAAGGATAAAGAAATTTTGTTGGCTTTTTTAAATCTGACAAATCCTGTGCCCAAGACAGGCAAAAAAAAAAACAAACCACCTTTAAAACTGTGTAAACACCGTATACCATAATCACTATATAAAGGATCCACTTTAGCTCCCCCCTGGTCTGTAACTGTGGACTAACTGCTCAAGTATCACTTGGTAAGGCTTAAGATCCTTCTCTTTTTTTAGCATCACATTGAAATATTAAACATGTCACCAGAAATTACACAGGAGTGTCTTTGAAGAAAAGCAGTAACGGTGCTTTCATTTCCCAACTGAATTCCCTATGACATTCCAGGTCCACACAGCACGATCCCACGTGCAGGTATGGAAACAGATCCCTGAGGCATGTGTGTTACTTAGCCAAGTTCTCCTGACAAGCAAACGTATTAAAAAAGGACATCCAAGACTCAAGTGCTGTTCTTCATCTATATTTGGACATGTGCACATACAAGTGCACACACACACACACACACACAGAGTGCATGAACAGAAACCAAGCCCTTCTGTCTGAAAATACGTCCCTCAGTAAGCTGAGCAGTGTTATTCATTCCATTCCTATATTTAAAATGAAAAGATAAAATCCCCCAAAGCTCAGCATGTCTGCATTCTGGAACACAAGCCACTGCTACCACCACAAGTTTGGCTTTTTTTCCCCATTTCTTCAAAAATTTTTTGAAGTCAGTCTTTTTTGCAGAAGTTCTCTTGTCATTTGTTAGTTTACCCATGAACAGCATTAACGTCAAATAACGTGCCAAAAAAGAGCTGTAAAGAAATGGACTCACAGTTTACCTTGTGGTGATTGTGATCCACCAGCCCTCCAATCACATAGGCTTTCTTCTCATCAAGCTCACTGAGAACGTCTGGGGAATCTGAGGTAAGATATACTAGGTCTTCTTTCTTTATTAACTCACTATAGTGTTCTGTTCTAATTTGGATATCCTCAAAAAAAAAAAAAAAAGGCAGTTAGAAGATGTTAGATTCAACTGTTGAATTGCTGGGCAAGCTTTACAGATCCAAGACAGAACCATCAAAAATAAATCCCAGAGCATGCAGGCATTCCACATCCTTATTCATGTAGCACAGTGCAGGTTGATTTCTGCATAAAGAATCCACAGTCTCTACAGCACAGACTTCTAAAAAATCACCAGGAAATTTTCTCAACCCCCCAAAGAACTTTACAAATCCCTAAGCTGTTGTGATTTCCTTCAAATGTTACCGTATTTCTCAAAGGCATCAAAATAATTTTCAAGTCTGCCTTTCTAAAAACGTGAAACCAGAAGGCAATGCTTATTTTACCATTTAACATTACCCGATTGATGAGAGGTTTATGCTGTGCTTTTTCAAGAGGTTTATAAAGTGCTTTTGCACTTCAGTGTTGAGAGGCAACATAATGGAAGCAAAGGTGCACACAAGAGATCACACCATGACTTCGGTCTTATTTTTCCCCAAGAAAAAAAAAAAGAGCACTCTCAAGAGAGATGACTGTCAGAACTGCCTAAATCAAGTCGTTTTGCTTGGTCTATCAGAGAATAAAGTCTGTTCATTAAAAACAGGGGAACGTGTGTGGAATTTCTCAAGGAAAAAACTAAGCTAGATTCAAATCAAGAAGACTTTGGCTTATTTAAGTTAAATTAATTAAAACCACAAACAGCCATGCTATTTCTAATATGCTATTGCTCTGATCTCTTAGAAAACCCCACATGCAACAAGCACAGGTCCTTCACAACTAACAACCTAGTTGTTAGACCTCTTTGTCTCTTTATATAGAAATACTCAATCATTCACCTTCCAGTTTACCCATCCTTTGTCGTTTTCATTCATGTTGTTCTTCAACTGTCCCCCGTGGCTGGTCAAGTAAAACTTGGAAAAGAACAAGCAAAAGGTACAAAATACTGAAATGTTAACATTCCAATCTGTTTCATCGCAGTACAAGACTTTTTCTAGCCTTAATTATAAGCTGAAACTCTTAATTACTTTTTAGCTGAAAGTGGTACTAAGACTATATTCATACAGGTAGTGATGCATTTAAAAGACAAATGCACTTACAGTCACTTTTTTTTTTTCTTTTCTGTCTGTCACAGACAAAACTGAGGATTAACAGCATTTTATTGGCACGCCAGTATCTGGCACTCTTCATCTGCATCCACATACTTTTTCATATATACAGGGATTTTTATAATGTGGGTTAAAGTTAATTGATTACAATAGAAGCTATTTTTTATTAAAAACAGCTTAAATATTTTTTTCTACTACAGTTCCCACCACTTGGGCTGCAGCCACCCTTCTCAAATGCTTTGTACGTGGCAATACAGTCAGCACAGAGTTTGCTTAAACGTACCTGCACAGGATGGAATGCTTTGCGGTTTTCTGCATAACATCTCTGAATTTGCTTGTGCAGCTTCTTAACATCCTGTATACAACACAATTTGGTTTTACATAGTCCTTCAGACAGACCACCACAAAATGCTTTACCATGAGCCAGTCAGAAGCTAAAGAAAGAGAAAGGAAGCTTTTAACTGGCAAAAGTGATGACTGAGAGAGAGTGGACATCAGAATCTGAGAGAAAAAACAGCCATTGTGAAGGGATTATGCTGACAAGGGGGCAGTTTCTTCCCTGCAGGGGTTGTCCAGCATTGGAACAGGCTGCCCAGGGAAGTGGTTGAGTCACCATCCCTGGCAGTATTTAATAGACACGTAGATGTGGTACTTAGGGACATGGTTTAGCGGTGGACTTGGCCGTGCTGGGTTAACGGTTGGACTTCATGACCTTCAAGGTCTTTTCCAACCTTTCCAATGATTCTATGACTGATTTGCATTATTCTAGGAAACAAACAAAAATCACTAGAATTTAATTATATGAAATTATATACTCAAAATTAATCATTACTCAAAAGGAATGAAGGACATTTATCACTGTGACAATACTCAGCAAAAGGTACAAAATACTGAAATGTTAACATTCCAATCTGTTTCATCGCAGTACAAGACTTTTTCTAGCCTTAATTATAAGCTGAAACTCTTAATTACTTTTTAGCTGAAAGTGGTACTAAGACTATATTCATACAGGTAGTGATGCATTTAAAAGACAAATGCACTTACAGTCATTTTTTTTTTCTTTATTTTTTTTTCCTATCTGTCACAGGCAAAACTGAGGATTAACAGCATTTTATTGGCACACCAGTATCTGGCACTCTTCATCTGCATGCACATACTTTTTCATATATACAGGGATTTTTATAATGTGGGTTAAAGTTAATTGATTACAATAGAAGCTATTTTTTATTAAAAACAGGCAGCTTAAATATTTTTTTCTACTACAGTTCCCACCACTTGGGCTGCAGCCACCCTTCTCAAATGCTTTGTACATGGCAATACAGTCAGCACAGAGTTTGCATAAACGTACCTGCACAGGATGGAATGCTTTGCGGTTTTCTGCATAACATCTCTGAATTTGCTTGTGCAGCTTCTTAACATCCTGTATACAACACAATTTGGTTTTACATAGTCCTTCAGACAGACCACCAGGTACTAGCTCCATCAGTGCTATATCTGTTCTGCATCACATACACCAAGCATCTTGACCAGTGGTTGGGTATCATGCTCAATCAGAATCTGAGAGAAAAAACAGCCATTGTGAAGGGATTATGCTGACAAGGGGGCAGTTTCTTCCCTGCAGGGGTTGTCCAGCATTGGAACAGGCTGCCCAGGGAAGTGGTTGAGTCACCATCCCTGGCAGTATTTAATAGACACGTAGATGTGGTACTTAGGGACATGGTTTAGCGGTGGACTTGGCCGTGCTGGGTTAACGGTTGGACTTCATGACCTTCAAGGTCTTTTCCAACCTTTCCAATGATTCTATGACTGATTTGCATTATTCTAGGAAACAAACAAAAATCAATAGAAATTAATTACATACAATAATATACTCAATCATTACTCAAAAGGAATGAAGGACATTTATCACTGTGACAATACTCACGTCTTTCAGCCATGGAAAAATCCTGAGAATATACTGTTTATATTTAAGAAAATTAAATACACATAATTAACCTGAAGAACCCCAGAATAATGCAAATAATTTAGTGGCTGGCTGTGGCATTTTGACCTGAGACTTTGGACAACAGTTAACTAGTATTACTTACAATGAAGCAGACTTACTTCTTAAACAATTATGTTTTTTCTAAGGTACATCCTATAGCTTTATTCTCAGTGGCCCAAAAGCAGTGTTTTGTAAATATAACCCATTCCCATTTTAAAATGAAACATCATTATATTGCTTTGAGTCATGTAGTGCTTTGAGAATGTTCTGGTATCTCCAAAGGACTTCAAGTGAACTAGACTTTATCACTACAATATTGCAATGCAAGTTTATACAGACACTAGAGCAAGCATTCAATTAAGCCTATTGCTAAAGGCCACAACCATCTTCACTTACAACGCTTGACAAACACCTGCAGAAGTGCCACGTTTTATTTCAGGCCTAACAGGGGCTCTGCCTGACCAAGGAAGGATGAAGTCTACCAGGAAACCCCCAGTCAGCATCTCCAGAACTATCAAGGGGGTCCTCTGGTCTCTTCTGGGGCACTGCTGAAGGGCTCCTCGGGGAACCGAGTTCCAACATACCAATTGGAGCTTCCCCAAAATTTTGTGGTGAGCGGTACTAGCTCCATCAGTGCTATATCTGTTCTGCATCACATACACCAAGCATCTTGACCAGTGGTTGGGTATCATGCTCATCTTTCTCATATTTACCTCTCCTGCCATCATCTCACCTGTTCGTTCACCCATTCTAATATTCAGAGACAGTGTCCTCCTGTCCCAAATGCCTCTCGTAACCAAGAGAAAAAGCTCAGTGTCCTCATAATGCTCAAAATTCTCATTTTCAGATAGTTACCAACACAGTTGGGAGCCTCAGGTCCATTTTGAAAGAGCAAGGACCTGGATGTGGCATTTGCTGCCCCACTAGCAAAACCATTTTGGGGCAGACTGCATCTAACTTCATGGTGAACACGAGACATGAACTGTTTCTATATTCCTGCTTTGGGAATCAAACTAACTCACTATATATCCATGAAGGCAAAGAAAATTTCTGGGAAGCTTATAGAAAGGTATACTCCAAACCCTAAAAAAATTCAACAACTGATGTAAGCAGGTGTGGGAGTCACCACACACTTAAACATGCTAACTGTCCTCCAGTCTTTGTGCTCTGACATTGCATCAGTGCTGTCACTGGAGACCTTTCAACGTTTGTTTGTGATGAGTAAGCTTCTTTTACCTTTAGCACCATCAAGTCATCAAAGCTGCAGTCCACGATGAGGCGAAGTGTACTAGGAACAACTTCCCTTCGCACACGCTTTCTGTCACTCCCTTCATTATTGTGGTCCAGCGTTGACTGACGTTCTAGTTTTCTCTTCTGGCGTTTTTCTTTTCGTTTCTGCCTAAATAAGCAAACAAACAAAGCTTGAAAGAGCACTGCCAGATCTGCTGAGGTGCATGTTATGTACTTAAATGCATACTTCTAAGATCAAGGTGGTAGTCAAAACGTAGCCATTTGTGCTAGGGTGATACCAGCATGAAACACGTACCCCATCTTGGTCAAATTCTGTATATAGGAAGGATGAAGTCTACCAGGAAACCCCCAGTCAGCATCTCCAGAACTATCAAGGGGGTCCTCTGGTCTCTTCTGGGGCACTGCTGAAGGGCTCCTCGGGGAACCGAGTTCCAACATACCAATTGGAGCTTCCCCAAAATTTTGTGGTGAGCGGTACTAGCTCCATCAGTGCTATATCAGTTCTGCATCATACACACCAAGCATCTTGACCAGTGGTTGGGTATCATGCTCATCTTTCTCATATTTACCTATCCTGCCATCACCTCACCTGTTCTTTCACCCATTCTAATATTCAGAGACAGTGTCCTCCTGTCCCAACTACCTCTCGTAACCAAGAGAAAAAGCTCAGTGTCCTCATAATGCTCAAAATTCTCATTTTCAGATAGTTACCAACACAGTTGGGAGCCTCAGGTCCATTTTGAAAGAGCAAGGACCTGGATGTGGCATTTGCTGCCCCACTAGCAAAACCATTTTGGGGCAGACTGCATCTCACTTCATGGTGAACACGAGACATTAACTGTTTCTATATTCCTGCTTTGGGAATTAAACTAACTCACCATATATCCATGAAGGCAAAGAAAATGTTTGGGAAGCTTATAGAAAGGTATACTCCAAACCCTAAAAAAATTCAGCAACTGATGTAAGCAGGTGTGGGAGTCACCACACACTTAAACATGCTAACTGTCCTCCAGTCTTTGTGCTCTGACATTGCATCAGTGCTGTCACTGGAGACCTTTCAACGTTTGTTTGTGATGAGTAAGCTTCTTTTACCTTTAGCACCATCAAGTCATCAAAGCTGCAGTCCACGATGAGGCGAAGTGTACTAGGAACAACTTCCCTTCGCACACGCTTTCTGTCACTCCCTTCATTATTGTGGTCCAGCGTTGACTGACGTTCTAGTTTTCTCTTCTGGCGTTTTTCTTTTCGTTTCTGCCTAAATAAGCAAACAAACAAAGCTTGAAAGAGCACTGCCAGATCTGCTGAGGTGCATGTTATGTACTTAAATGCATACTTCTAAGATCAAGGTGGTAGTCAAAACGTAGCCATTTGTGCTAGGGTGATACCAGCATGAAACACGTACCCCATCTTGGTCAAATTCTGTATATACCTACAAAACAGACATCTGACACAAATTCAGTGAAGTCCATAGTGGGACTCCCATGGATCTAAGGGTGCTCCGAGTCACGTCTCGTAACAGAAACAACCGAAAAGATTTTGCAAATTGCAGTATCAAATCAGAATGTGGAAGGCAATTTACCTCTCACTTCACTGAACAGTTTTTCAAAATGCTTTTGTTTCTTTACCGATCCCCCAGTGGGAGCAGACAGTTGGGAGATCAATTTTCAGAGACTGCAACCTCAACCGTCTCGGAAGGAAGCTGTCTCGGGAAGGAAGACACTGCCTTCAGCAAGACAAGGATAAACCACAATCAGCCCATTTGCAGATAGGCTTTCTCTCAACAACAGAATAATACAGAAGCTCACCATCCTCCAAAACTATTTTAACAGACTGTAAGCCAACATAACTTATAGCCCAGCATTTCATTCATCAAAAGAAAAATTTTTTATTCACTGTCTTTGTAGGATTCACCGTCTGACAGCACCAGGGAAAGAGGGAGCAACCCATTCAGAAAGGAACAAGGCCACACGTTACTTCTCCCTTCTGACAAGTCAAAACCATGCAAGTTTGAATCCCTCCTGATATCCTCTTCCAGTTGAGGAACACTTCTAGTGTAAAGAGAGGATGCTTACCTTTATAGCTTCTTCATATGCTCATGGAGCAGCCTGTGACTACTGCTTTAAACCTGGCACAGGAGAAAACTGGTTCAACTGCCTTGATTTGCTAAAGCAATCTACATGCAAATCCTGCTGACCCATTGTTATTATTAGCACTAACTACTACACACAATCCTAGAAAAGCCTTTTGGCAAACCATACCTCCGTAGATCTTTCTGTTCTTCCCACTGTTTCTGCTTCAATAGTTTCTTCCTTTGCCTCTTGGACATGGGCTCAAGGCATTCTTCCTTGTCTGAGCCTGCCTCCCGTCTCTCTACTGGATTGTCCCTTGCCTTCACCTCTCCTTCCGCATCAGGAGCTTCAGGTGACATGGTATTTTCTGTTGGCACCTCTGGACTTTCTCTCAGCGTTTCTGACGACATTAGCTTTTGGCCAGGTTTACTAACTTCTCAACATGTGATAAATACTTCATTAAAAGCAAGCTTTTCCCTCACCAGTTCTGTAAGAAACAAAACAATAGTATGAGTGTTATTAACAAGAAGTTTAAGTAGAAAGAATATCACTCTACACCTACCATAAACCCGAATAAAGAAAAAAATAATTAAGAGATGGTCTGGTTTTGTTTAGAGCTAGGTTACTGTCTCTGCAAACAGTAACTTTCAAAATACTAGAGACCTATTATAACCTATATACAGATCATGTCTCAAACTCTGCCTGCTATGTCTGCAGCTATCCAACAGTTTCCAATTAAAAACGTTGTGAAAACACAACTGCATAAAAGGAGGGCATCATACTGGGTTAAATGTAAAAGAAAGAACATTAGCACAACTGTTATGTGTACACAAACCACTCTCAAAAACACAAACACAAAAAACTAAAGAAGTATCCTGTAATATAATGACAGCAGCATGCAAAGAAATATAATTGTAAGGAGACTAAAGCCATTTTTTAGGGGAAAAAAAGTGTGAACAACCCACACAGTCCTTCAAAATTAATTTTTATTTCCTCTGAAAACTAAAGACACTGGCCAACCACTGACACTGGCCAACGTCAGTGGACAAAACACAGCAAGCAATGGGATGAACAGACTGAACTGATACTCAGCAAAATGTTCTGTGTTCAAATCAATTACAATTATACCCTTTTCCTTTTCAATGGCAAGTATTATTTCTTCATACTAGTAGCTCCCCTGTGCCCAACAGCTGCACGGTTTTCCAAAGATAACTTGTTCACTGGGGAACACTGCATCTACAGAGCCAACATGCAGGAAAAACCCACCACAGTCCCCTGGCTTCTTCAGGAAGGGAAGAGCCAGAAAATCACAGAATCACAAAATGGTTAGAGTTGGGAGGGACCTTAAAGATCATCAAGTTCCAACCCCCCTGCCATGGGCAGGGACACCTCCCACCAGAGCAGGTTGCTCAAAGCCCCATCCAGCCTGGCCTTGAACCCCTCCAGGGATGGGGCAGCCACAGCTTCTCTGGGCAACCTGTTCCAGTGCCTCACCACCCTCACAGGAAAGAATTTCTTCCTGAGATCTAATCTAAACCTCCCCTCTTCCAATTTAAAACCCTTACCCCTTGTCCTGTCACTGCACTGCCTGACAAAGAGTCCCTCCCCAGCTCTCCTGTAGCTCCCTTCAGATATTGGAAGGCTGCTCTAAGGTCTCCCCGGAGCCTTCTCTTCTCCAGGCTGAACAACCCCAGCTCTCTCAGCCTGTCCTCACAGCAGAGGTGCTCCAGCCCTCTCATCAACTTCATGCCCCCCCTCTGGACCCATTCCAACAGGTCCATGTCCTTCCTGTGCTGAGGACTCCAGAGCTGGACACAGCACTCCAGCTGGGGTCTCCCGAGCGTGGAGTAGAGGAAAACACACAAACCACCAGAAAACCAGCAACGCTTCCGCTAACACACCCCGGTTTCCCTGTCCGGGGGCGATAGGGCACAAGAGGCCCGGGGAGCGGGTGCCCGAGGGCCCGGCCCCGGGTGGCACAGGCGCCCCTGCCACCGCCGCCGAGCTCTGTGCATCCATCTGCGCATTCATATAGATGTATATATATATATATATATAGGCACGTACACATCTATATATACACACACGTATCTATGTATACACGCATCGTATATATAGAAACACACAGGCGTTATTTCTGCTCGCGCGCCGGAGTACCTCATAACTCCACAGGACAGCACCGGCCCGGCCCACGAAGGCCGCGGGGGAGGCCGTGACACCTCCCCACACGCTGGGAGCAGCGGCAGCCGAGCGTGGGGAGGGGGGGGAGTGGGAGGCCCCCCAGGCCGTTGGGAGGCGGCCATTTTCCCCTCTCTTCCCCCTGAGGAAAGCCCAGCCCGACACCGGAAGGAGCACCACCCCCCCTTCCCAGCACGCAAGACTTCAAATCCCGGCAAGCAACGGGGCGGCGGTCACGCGGCGCCAACGGCCGGCGGTCACGCGGCGGTCACGTGGCGCCAACGGCCACCGCCCCGGCGCTGAGGGAGGGCGGGGCCGCGCGCCAACATGGCGGTGCGGCTCCTACAGGCCTTCCGCCCCCCGCGCCTTGGGGTCTGCACCGACGGCCGTGCTCTGTGTTAGCTCTGCCTTCCCCTTCCAGTCAAAAAAGTACAACCGTAACGAACGCACTTTGAATGTATCAGTCACGGGTTGAGCGGGTTTCTGGTTTTTACGCCGTTGCTTGTGCCGGCCGGTGGCGGCTGCTGCCGGCCTTGCCAGGGCGGCTGGCGGTGGGACCCTGGCCAGGCTAGAGGGGCCTGTAGGGCCCGGCGTGGCGGGCAGGTACACGGGTGGGCACGTTTCTTGGAAATGGGCCCCTGCGGCGGGGTAGGAGGAGAGCTGTGCGCCTCTCCCATACGGCTGTGGTGGCTCCGTGGGATTAAGGGGAGCGAAAAGTAAGAAAACCTTATTTTTATCCCACGGTTTTGATGACACCACTGAGTTCACGCAGGGGCCAGCGAAGTATTTTTAAGTGGCGACATTCCTCGGAAGCTGTGCGCCTCTCCCGTACGGCTGTGGTGGCTCCGTGGGATTAAGGGGAGCGAAAAGTAAGAAAACCTTATTTTTATCCCACGGTTTTGATGACACCACTGAGTTCACGCAGGGGCCAGCGAAGTATTTTTAAGTGGCGACATTCCTCGGAGCAGATTTGTCGCTCCAGAGGTCCCCCAGCAATGCCATGTTCCCTCTGCCCCTTAAAAAGGGGTGCGCGCCTTCACGCCTCGTCATTTTAAAGGCCACCGCCAATTAGCTTTTTAAACTCAACATTCTTTTGCCTTCAGGTAATTTCATGAAAAAATGCTGCCCTGGTGCAGGAGTCAGTTCTGGAGACAGGGATTATGTTATACGAGAAAAATATATTTTTGGGCAGCCTAAATATGTAGGTGTCTGTTTGCCCCTGGTTAATGAGGCACTCAAAGTTAGCAAACAGAAGAGTGCATGCTACCATAATACCCTTTTCATCTGCATCAATGTTTATCTCAAGTTTCATTGGTTCCAGATATACACACTCTTAGAGTTTTAGTGCTGGTTTCAGGTTTACTATGGCTATGTTAAAGTCACAAAACTGTATGCTGTCACTATAGTAAGACGCTGACCTTTAACTGCTGTTGGTATTCAATATTTGCTGTAATATTTTATTTCATTTGTGATTCCTATTCCCTGCGTTACTTTAAAAATAGCTAGATTTGCATTTGCTTTTGCTAGCAGCTATTTAAAACCTCACTCGTGTTACTATTAATATCTAGCTTTACACACAAAAGTCCAAATGTGCCACTGTCCCTGTGAAGAATCCTTCGCTTTCCTTTGGTGGTTAAAAGTTTGCAGACCAGTTACTGATAGAAGCCCACTCGCCTGCTTGCCTTTTTAAAAAAGCAAAAAGGCATCTACGAAACTCACATAACTAAACTAAACTAAAACCATAACATTCAGGTGTGCTTTTTCTTAGAATGAGGAAACTGCTTACGCATTCTGATTTATTAATCTGTTTTTCTCATCTTGCATTCTCCAAAGCGTCAGTGTTGCTGACCCAGATCCCTACGTCCTCAAACACCGATACGACGTAATGCAATGTTTTCTGAAGCCTGCCAAGAGCCAACTGGTGACAAAGCGGGATGAAGACCCGGGCAGCTGCAAATATTGAGAAAGAGCTGTCTGACTGAATTTCATTATTTTGATAGAGCCATAACATGACTTTTCAAGACGCTCATTCAAAATGGTGCGTTGCCCCCAGCAACAGAACAAACTCAGCACCTCGTAGTTGAATCCTGCGTATGGAAACATTCTGTACAAACACCACCCCAGGTCAAGGGACAACGTAGGGAGGAACGGAGACACTCGGTGGAAGCTCAGGTGTGGACACAGGCACTCTGTGGGCCAGGTCTGATTGCAGCACTCTTGAGGAGAGGCTTAGGATGCAAGTGACACGCACCACTCACCTTTAGCCAGTGGCTTGGCAGTGCATCTCCCGCCCCCTGCAGCAGAAACTGGGGGTGGGTGGGGTGTCTTATTCACCAGAACAGCAGGATCTGGGGCACGCAGGCACCGGCTGAAGGGCAAAGATGGACTTGGGTACTTCAGGCCACACGAGTGAGTGGAGAACCAAAATCTTCACCCTGTCATTGGTGAAGACAAAACCATTTCAGTGACCTCAGAAGCTGTGAAGAAATCTCATTAGTTTTATTAGGTCATATAAAGATATGAGACTTATAGTTTGGACTCTGGAAAATGTGCAGCAACAGTAATACTTTGACCCCGGTCCATATGCCAGCATGGCGTGAAGCGTACATTAGGGGCTGATCCTGCACCCTCTGCGTGTAATGGACTTTGGTGGGCACAACAGGTTTTTCATTGGTGTAATTTGACATCAAGGAAATCACTGCTGATTTACTCCGGGCATAACTGAGGAGAGGCTTAGGCCTCCTGTTTTTAAGGCGTTTGAAGAACATACCGAGTATCCATTATAGACACAAATATAGGGATATATATGTATATGCATGTGGAAATATATGTACACTATTTCTCTACATCGTGGCTGCATCCTTAGCTCTATAATTGGCAGTACTACACTGGTGTCCAAAGAAGTACTGCTCTGATTTAACTCAGCAGGGCCTCTGGCCTCTGATACTCTAGTGACTTAAGGGAGGCCTTTTTTACAATAACTTCCATTTCGAGGAAGAAATAAATTTCCTCTGTCCCAACAGCATAAGGGGAGGACAGCTGCTCTTCTCCACATTTCAAAGCAGCATCAACTCCTCCCTGTGAGTGAAGTGTGAACATTGCCTTTCCAAATTAGGATCCATACCTCTGGTCTCTCTCTAGCCGGAGTTGGTTTTGCAGACAGACAATGTTGCTTTTATCAAAAAAAGCGCAGAAAGCCTGGTAAGCTCTTCATGTACACAAAGAGCTCCAGGGGGACTTCCACAAGCTGCAGAGAGATGAGGATGAGTGAGGGGAATTAGAGCAGACCTGTGGTTTCCCACTGCTGGGTGATGTTTGAGGTCCATGGTGCTCGGCTTTTCTTCTCAGCGTTTGTACCACCCAAGGTGAAGGCTGTTCTCACCATCCTTTAGTAATACAGGGGAGCTGGGGGCAAAAATGTCCCATTGGGAGCAGCTAAACATGCCTGGGGTGGCACTCGTTCAGTTGGGGCGTTTGTAGCTCACAAGTCTTTAGCAAGCTCACAGTCTTGTTAAAGGAACCTCTGAAGTGGAGCGAAGGAGCGTGGTGATGGCTCATGGGTGTGTCTGTACAAGCAGGACCAGATATTTCCTCCCTACAGAGCCAGGGAGGAGAAGGTGCCCCTTTGCAGGCTGTGACACCCAGGGGGTGCCAAGGAACGTGGCATGGGGGTTACCTACTGCTCCACCATCACCTGAAGGACAAGGGAGTCCTTTAGCAAGCCCTTTGGCCATAAGGCTTAGTGCAAGGTGGCCTGGGATTTACTCTCAGAGGAAACGGGGAAACATGTGAGTTAGTCATCTGGGGGCTTATCAGGGGAGGTGGTAAAGTGAGCATGAAAAAAGTGGAAGATAGGGGTGAAAAGGAAGGCTTGGTTTGCCCTGCTGCCAGACCTAGCCAACCAGGTACTCTTCACCAAGGTGGGACAGAAGGGCAAGTTTCTCTCATCCTTTCAGTCTCTAACCTCTGCCAGTGCAATGATGGAGCTGGGGCTGCTGAAAGAAAGAGAATTTATTGGGTACGATACAACACAGCAGGAACTGGCATTGCATCTGAGTCTCCATAACAAAATAGCATCGCTTTTTGGGGTGGCACTGGTAAATCCCATGTACTTCTGCTTCCAGGCAAACCCTTAAAAAGCATCACAGAAATGATACAAGACAGTGGAGACGGTGGTCAGGGCTGGGCCCCTGGCAACACCAGGCCCTTCGTTAAGACAGAAGAGGGATGGCAGGTTCTGCCAGGACTAGAGAGGGGCTCCCCCGCTCAGGAATGTGGCTGTGTGGGCTCAGTATTCAAAAATGAAAGCTGAGGCGATCGATAAAATGGGGTAGAAACCACCAGTTACCTTAGTTCTTAATAATTAACTGGAAGTCCTTCAATGAACTTAGTACCTGAGTGTGGAATTTGGAATCTGACCTTTACTACATCTAGATAAACAGTGTGGCTGACCCAGCAGCGCTCTCTGCAAGCGCCCCTACGCTCTCAGCAGCTCACTTCTTGGGAGGCTCTCACACTTCATGCTGCAGTCAGGAGCTCGGGGGAGTTCAGCATGATTCTTCTTACCGTGCTGTTCCTTTGCATCATTTCCACCTACTCAGCCTCTGTCAAAGGTAGGTCTCAGCAAAGGCATAACCAGTGTGTGTATGCAGGTCTGTTTTGCAGCAAGAACGATCATCTTTACTTGTCTGTCTTTGAGTAATTCAAAATACATTTAGTGATTACAAAGGCTTAAGTGCTTGTAGCATTCGTGTCAGCAGAGGGGATGGAGGAGACAACGTTTTCAGGTGCAAAGGGCCAGCAGTGTGAGCCAGGAGACTGGGGATCTTGACCTTGCTTAGTCAGGACATGCTGAGGGGGCACCGACTTGAAAGGGACTACGCTGAGAAGTTAAACACACAGAAGTGCTCTGGTGGAGCAGAGCCAGGAAGCGCGCAGGGCTCTCCAGGTTTCAGCTTCTGAGCAGTTGACTCAGCTACCACTGAAGTCAGTAACAAGCATCCCATTAATTTCATGGGGAGCTCGCTCTGCAATAAGTCATGAAAACCTGGATGTCTGCACAAGCCCTGGGAGCAGGGCTTTACTGAGGTGTCCTGACAAAGGTCAAGGGTATGAAATCTGGAGAGCGCCCACATCAGCGGTGCCAGTGTATGAAGCAAA